CAGCCACTGTAAGACCACAGAAGGAAATGCTGTCCCTCAGCTTATCTGTGCTGCTGTTGAGGATGAAACTGATGCCACAGATGCTTCATTTCAGCTGAATAGTTTTGTGAATTCAGCTGTATAATCGATCAAGGAGTCTCTCAGGAAACGCTACATAGGGAACTCAATCAATAACAATAGCATTCAGATGGATGCAGCGAATTTCCTAGAATACTGAGCTATTAATTCTCCTTGAGTATCGGACGCTTGATAGAAACATGGGGCACTGTGGCCTCAAAAAATGTACTATATATAGAAACACTGGGGAAGAGAATAGTGTTGCCGATGACTCGGCTTTTATCGGCTTAACGCTTTGAGATATTTTTATTCTGATTGGATCTATACTATTACGTGTACTTATGAATCCGCTCTTTGATAAGTAACCGGTGGAACTCCAGTCCGCCGTAAACAATCTATTGAGTATCGCCCTCATGCCTGGCTACCACGTAACACTGGGAATCATCTCCACTGCATAGGGTAAGAGCTTTCTTAGAGCTTTCATGCCTTTTTATAGATCGAAAATGATTCGTGACAAGCACGTTTTAAGTAAGTGTCAAAAACTCGTGAATATTAAGTACTTGCACCACTTCTATTAAAGAAGTGTCGAGTCAAAACGTGATGGCCGCCATTATTAGTGCCAGCAAACTAGAACGTGGGAATACACTGTTGACCATAGTTGACCCACAGGAAGTTGCGTGCTGAGGTCTGCACGGGACAGTCCTCCATTCAGTCCTACGGAAAGTACGTCTCCTGTGTCATCTGGTCATTTCGTTATAATACAAGTTTCTAGAAACCCCAGATTACAGACCGTCAGCCGGATGCAGCTTTACTAGGAATGGACCCCCAAGACAGCAATTCCCCGGTACAAATTTGTTTTTTGTACACTACATCTTCTCATCAGATTCGCTGCATAGACACCACTCGATATGCTAGAATTGCTATGCTTGGAGGAGGTAGAAAAGCGGCTTGCCCAGCAGTATGGGATGGCCTCCCTTCACGAGATCGACTCCATAGCAGTCTTGCAAGAGGCCAGAAGGCATGCTGACACACTATGGGGACGTTTTCGAAGCACGATCCTAGATGTCCTTCGGAAGACCGGCTTTTCAAATGCCAATGATGTAGAGGATTTGAATAAGCTTTATAACCTCCATCGCAAACCTCAGTTCAAGTCTCATTCCACGCTGATGCCAGACATAAGCATATACTCCTAGCTATCGACCGTCATCCTCACCCCAACTTTCGTAGGACCCCTACCACATCGGAGCCTCTCGCTTTTGGGCTGTTCTTATCGGTATTGATGCATACGAGACCAATCCCTTACGCGGTTGTGTATCTGACACTTCGTTGATAAAAAGATTCTTGATAGAGGATGCTGGGATACCAAAACATCGTATTCAATGTCTTCTTGGGTCCAAGAATCCTACCCCTGATTCCGTGATACCCTCCCGCACTAACATAGTAAACACACTCCGTGGTCTCATTGACAATCCTGATATTGAACGGGGCGATAACATCATTATCCATTACGCCGGTCACGGCACGAGCTATTACTGCTCAGAGCACTTTTCCGCACAATCTACATGCCAAACCGGTGCTTGTCCTATCGATGCTCTGTGCCCCATCAATCGAGACACTATGGACTCCGATAAGCACTGGATTCCCGACATCAGCAAAAGAGAGCTCTATACACTCTTCACCCAGATATCACACAAGAAGGGACATCATATTACATTCATTACAGACTGCTGCCACGCCAGCAGTTTTGACCGACAGGACGGAGACTCAGCAATACGCACCACACACCCAACTTTTCATTCCGATGTCCACAATATGCTACGCGCTGCAGATCAATTATTAAAACATTTTCCCCGTTACCCATCTGTATTGTTGAAGGATTGGCAGCCAGATACGGGTTCTCATGTAATTCTTGCCGCTTGTTTGGATTATCAGTATGCGAAGGAAATTGGGGGAGAGGAGGGATACGGCGGGATTTTCACCAAGACACTGGTGGATGTGCTGAAGTTGGGTGCCTGGAGGAAAGAAACGACATATGTTGGGCTGACCCATCTTCTGAACCAGTCATATACGCAGACTCCAGTGGTTGCTGGGGACCATAAATACGATTGTATTTGGTACCAGGTGTAAATGTTAGTAGGCATTGGCCTAAGCGCTATATCAAAGGGGCCCAATCTTACACCAAAGTCATGCTCAATACAATTCTTGTCAGGTCTAGTAAGGTCTCTACTACGTACGTGCAAGGTACCCTAAGTGAACATCAAGCCAACCATAGCCTAACCTGTTATCTGAACGGTTGTACCTCACATCACCATCCTTCTCGAGTCTATCTGGTGCCGGAACAGACATGTAGACCAGCCATAACTGTGGCCAAGTCACTGGTCTTTCCAAACGAGATTACCCCGGTGACTGGAGTTCTATTGTCAGTTTTCTTGGCCAGAAGAGAGCCCTTTTATGTTGCTCAGGGTTTTATCTAATCTGCTTCCACTTCTTCGAGTAGTTCGTCAATATTGCATCGATCAGCTCTCCTCCTTCCCTACCTACCTGATACTCATCCTTCTGCTGACAGTTCTCATGACGATGCTTCTGGATTTGATCTAGATCGTTTCCTACTTACTAGTGCATCCCAGACCGGCCAGCTTATGTTTTAACAGCACCTGGAGCTATGCGATTAGCTACGGTTCCGTGATAAGGCTTTGACGTGTCTGTGGTGTTGTTCTTCAGACCTTCGGTCCTGGTCAAGGCCATTTTTACCCTGACTTTTCGATATCCGTTTCTCCGTTAATCAAACAGTCCGCCCTACAAGCATCCAGGCCCCGCAGCCAACGACCAGGCCTCATTTATTCCAACGGGGATGTTCACCATGTTCAAGGAAGTCCGAGTTCATCGGCGAAAGACTCAGCATACGTTGGCATACATGATTGGACCATCGATTCACGGTGTCTACCTTCTTTTCGGAGTGGGCCATACAGTTGTTTGTTCGCATACATGTGGTCTTACCAAGTAGCTTGGCATGAATAATTGCGCGTGTTAAAACTTTGTGGGTGATTAAGTTCCCGTACTTGCATCATTGTCCTTCTCGCTTCCAAAGAGGGCTGTACGCCGTCGTCCATGTTGCACAAGCTGATGGGCCGTGGGTAGGGAAAGTATTGGCAGCCCTGTGACGTTCAATGTCTATGCGATGATGCAAGCGCTATTGAATGTCCCACAGTCATTTCATGAGTGATGACTAGACGCTTTCAGATTAATTTGACGGTGAAGGGGTCGTATACCTTACTGGTGTTCCTGGAGGGCAAAGGAACATACAATGCTTCCGAGTCAAGTCATCCAACGAAGTACACAAGGGCATTTTCCTTCTTCGCTCAAAGGACACAAACAAGGCGGGGATGCATGAAGAAAGATAGACATCACAAATGACATGCCGACAGTGGTGAGAGTGTGCACGCTGTTTCACACATATTGTAAGCTCTCGTGTCCCCCGATGCCGAAAAAGACCTATAACAGCGTCTCTCCACCAACTGTAAGAACACGGAATGCAGTGTGGCAGTGGCTGTTGGCTAGATTCATCTGGGCTATCTGTGGGTCGTGCTCCCGGCGAGATGAGAAAACAGACATCCCGGTATTGAAGCTGTAGCTCGTAAAGGATGCAATGATGTAAAAATGAGCGGCTTGTAGGAGTATTACCATGATCCATGATTATGGAGTCATCGACAGCGCCCTTGAATGGATTGTTCCAGATCAGTGCTGTCGATGTCGCCTACAACTCTGAGATTCTTACCTATTGACACCCTTTGCGGGAGATATATCTGAATCTCCGTTCCTCCTGTCGGTAGTTGGATTTCTGTAGTGCTGCAGACGGAGGTTGACATTGATCGATCATCTTCGATCTGATAACATCTAGAACTTTGGATCTAATAGGAATCCCGTGCGTAACGACGATTGGCGGTGGTATCATTATGGAAAGCGGTGCAGAGGTGGTGGCAGAGTGCAAGGAAAGATGAACTGGAGATAGCAGTCTACACAGTTACCGCCGCCTCAAGGTAACCTTGCAGCTTTCGGGTTCGACAGACACAGCCCAGCTGTCACATGTTTCACATTCTTATCAATCCGAACAGATCTGAACCACAGCCTCAAGTCAAGTGCGATCTTACTCAGTTACTTTCTGCAGCTACCGTACTTCTCGTCTCTGCATTAGGGAGATCATCAATGATTAAAATTACAGATTTTGTCGGTATGTGGTATGCGTCATCTCATATTTTCATTGCAATTTATAGACTCGATCTCAGATGTCAGTTAAGCTCGGAGATCATATACTATCCTAGGATTCGGTATAAGTATGCCAGCAATGTGCCTTCCAAACAGCACGAAAAGAAGATGTGGCCTTCTTTTTTGTGGATTTTATGGATGTATGAATGGCACAGCTTGTTCAGATGTACCCTACAAGATTCAGTGATGGCTACCTGGAGGACTCTTGGATCGAAACTCGACTCAGGAAACAAGACCGTTCGAAAGATAGTAGCTCATTAAGGACATCATATTTCTATGCATAACTAGGACTGTACACGGCTCTACTGATACCAAAGGTGTTCATATTTGCGCTCTCCAGCAACGACCGGAGTCTGGAAATAGTCCTGATTCAGATGCTCAGTCAGCCCAACATATGTCGTTTCCTTCCAGTCACCCGACTTCAAAACACTAACGAGTGTCTTGGTAAAAACCCCGCCATATCCATCCTTTCCCAAAGTCTCCTTCGCATACTGATAATCCCTACACGCCACGAGAACTACATGAGAACTCATATCTGGCACCCAATTCTTGGATAACACAGATTGAGAGTGTCTGTTTGCAGCGCATAACATGTCATCGACGTTGGAACGAAGCGTGGCATGGGTGACGCGTAGTCTTATCTCCTGATCTGGATCTCTGCTCATGCCACCGGCGTAACAACAGTCTGTGATAAACGTGATTTTATGCCCCTTGACGTGAGATATCTTTGTAAAGAGAGAGTTGAGCTCTCGGTCACTTATATCGGGTATTGGATGCCCATCTGCGTCTATGGTATCGTGGTCGATGGGGCACAGAGCCTCTATAGGACAGGCATCGCTACTGCTGCACTTGGATTCCAGTGGAGTGGAGAAATGCTCTGAACAGTGGTAGCTCGAGCTGTGTCCGGTGTAATAGATGATATTATTGCCTCGCTCAATTTCAGGGTTGTCAAAGAGACTATGGAGCAATTTGACGATGTTGGCATGAGAAGGAGTTAATGGATCGCCATGAGGAGGTTTCCGAGCGCCGAGGAGACATTGGATGCGATGTTCTGGCACACCGACGTTCTCGAGTAGGAGTTTCTTCATTGATAATGTGTCTGATACACAGCCGTGTAAAGGATTAGATGCGTATGCATCAATGCCAATGAGAATGGCCCAAAAGTGAGATGCGTCAACGTGGTAGGGGGCCTACGAATGTCAGGATGAGCATGAAGGTTGGTAGTTAATGATATACACTTACACCTCGGTTCAGAGTGGGAGATTCATATGAAATTGACAGCAAATGGCAAGGATTCAATGTGTCTTTGAGGCAGAGGTGGTAGAGCCAGTGCAATTCTTTTGCATTATCACTGTGCAGCCTGGTCTGCTAGATTTCTGTTTGAAAGGTGTTAGTTGACAGTTAATTGTGATACATCAGGAGTGTCAGTTTACATCCAGCCCATATACAGTAATTCCATCAGGATGACAAAGTGGCTTAGTAAGCTTCCCAATCTGTATCAATGATGGCATCATTAGAAAAGAGGGCAATTCCGGGAATTGAACCCGGGACCTCAAAAATAAATCCAATAATGTCACATGACTTTCTCGAGCAAGCATACTAACCACTACACCATACTGGCATTATATATATATCTTTTCATCTCTATATATACCCTCTCTCCCTTAACATTTATGACCTCATATTGATGCCCTCCCTTTGCTCCGCTCTGGTGCGCTCTTTTGCCTTTTTAGGCTCCCCAAATCAGCCCATCAATTTTGGCTGGATCCAGTGGCAGTGCCGCATTTTTGATACCCAAAATAGGGGCTATTTTCCGGTCAAAATAGCTATTGGGCTATTCTCAGGCTACTGGCTGGGCAAGGGGATGGCACTATAATCTGTATAGACATAAACAACATAAAATAGAGCCCTCTAATGATGCATAGGAGCCCTGGATAGTGGATTAAAAGGGTAATATAATGAAAATCGCATAAATATTCGCTTTTGGGGGCTGCTGCATGCATTGGATCGGCTGGAGGACTTCACCAATCGATTCCCTGACCTTGAAAACACCCAAACGACCCCTCCACAGTACTTTTGGCACACTTTATTCCTGGAGATAAACGAAAATATTCGCTTTTTAGGGTGCAGCATGCTCCAGATCGCTTTGAAAACATTACCAGTCGATTCCTATGCTATAAAAACCCTAGAATACATCCTCCTTCGTAATATAGGTCCAGTATAATACAGTATAAAAGGGGGTATTAGGGGGCATACATCGCTTATTTTGTTTTTCGCACTTCGGATGGCCTGGGGAGCATCACCAATGGATTCCCTGATATTAAAAACCCCAAAACGACTCCAGCCTTCATTTATAGGGTCTCAAAAACGACAGAAATAATGATATTACAGTTTAGGAGGAGCACATGTAATAAATCCTATTTCTGGGCTTTGGACCACTTCGGAGTTTTGTCTATTGTGTTTATTGACCTGAATAACACTCAAATGACCCCACAGGACAAAGGAAACCATCAGAAATACGTGATAAAAAGAGTAATAGGGGGATGGAGGAGACATACCTTATATTTCGCATCTCTAATAGTTAGGGAGGGTATTCTTGTTATATAACAGACTGTATATATTGTACAATGGTGTGTACGAAGCCCCATGGATATCCGAAATGTATTGAATGAGATATGAGCAGATCATTCTGTAAAACAGGAGGAGCACATCCCATATTTCGATGTTCTGCTCATTCTATGGCCTGGAGACTATCAGAATCGGATTCCTTGACCCAAAAAACAGTAGAGGCACTTATCATCCATGGTATTCAGATGTTCAAACTCCGAAGTACAAGATGTTCTCTCATTTGTTACTTATATTGTCCTGTAGCTACATATGGCTGTATGTGTTATCTGGGTAAAATGGCTCCTATGGATGATAAGTGCCTCTACTGTTTTTTGGGTCAAGGAATCCGATTCTGATAGTCTCCAGGCCATAGAATGAGCAGAACATCGAAATATGGGATGTGCTCCTCCTGTTTTACAGAATGATCTGCTCATATCTCATTCAATACATTTCGGATATCCATGGGGCTTCGTACACACCATTGTACAATATATACAGTCTGTTATATAACAAGAATACCCTCCCTAACTATTAGAGATGCGAAATATAAGGTATGTCTCCTCCATCCCCCTATTACTCTTTTTATCACGTATTTCTGATGGTTTCCTTTGTCCTGTGGGGTCATTTGAGTGTTATTCAGGTCAATAAACACAATAGACAAAACTCCGAAGTGGTCCGAAGCCCAGAAATAGGATTTATTACATGTGCTCCTCCTAAACTGTAATATCATTATTTCTGTCGTTTTTGAGACCCTATAAATGAAGGCTGGAGTCGTTTTGGGGTTTTTAATATCAGGGAATCCATTGGTGATGCTCCCCAGGCCATCCGAAGTGCGAAAAACAAAATAAGCGATGTATGCCCCCTAATACCCCCTTTTATACTGTATTATACTGGACCTATATTACGAAGGAGGATGTATTCTAGGGTTTTTATAGCATAGGAATCGACTGGTAATGTTTTCAAAGCGATCTGGAGCATGCTGCACCCTAAAAAGCGAATATTTTCGTTTATCTCCAGGAATAAAGTGTGCCAAAAGTACTGTGGAGGGGTCGTTTGGGTGTTTTCAAGGTCAGGGAATCGATTGGTGAAGTCCTCCAGCCGATCCAATGCATGCAGCAGCCCCCAAAAGCGAATATTTATGCGATTTTCATTATATTACCCTTTTAATCCACTATCCAGGGCTCCTATGCATCATTAGAGGGCTCTATTTTATGTTGTTTATGTCTATACAGATTATAGTGCCATCCCCTTGCCCAGCCAGTAGCCTGAGAATAGCCCAATAGCTATTTTGACCGGAAAATAGCCCCTATTTTGGGTATCAAAAATGCGGCACTGCCACTGGATCCAGCCAAAATTGATGGGCTGATTTGGGGAGCCTAAAAAGGCAAAAGAGCGCACCAGAGCGGAGCAAAGGGAGGGCATCAATATGAGGTCATAAATGTTAAGGGAGAGAGGGTATATATAGAGATGAAAAGATATATATATAATGCCAGTATGGTGTAGTGGTTAGTATGCTTGCTCGAGAAAGTCATGTGACATTATTGGATTTATTTTTGAGGTCCCGGGTTCAATTCCCGGAATTGCCCTCTTTTCTAATGATGCCATCATTGATACAGATTGGGAAGCTTACTAAGCCACTTTGTCATCCTGATGGAATTACTGTATATGGGCTGGATGTAAACTGACACTCCTGATGTATCACAATTAACTGTCAACTAACAGTGTTTGATGCATCAAAGTAGCAGCTACAGGTGCACTGTCTGATGTTAATGTGTGGACCCTTTGAAGGAAAACTTGGATGGCTCTTTGAAACTGTCTGCACGGTAATTTTGCACGCCTTCTGGTTTCTTGCAGGACTGTTACAGAGTCGACGTCTTCAGGAGAGGCCATCCCGAACTTCTGTGCAAGCCATTTCTCGACCTTCATCAAAGATCCTATTTCCTGAAGCTCTGGATCCATGAGTGGTACCTATGCAATATCTCCTATGAGCGGGTCGCAATATACGTAAAACACACTCATACTGGAGCATAGTTGCTTTTGCAGGCGAGCCTGAGTAAGGGTGCTTTGGATGGCTGATAGTCTGAAACCTGCTGCGTGGAGAATTTCAGTATGTAAAGACCGGAGTAGACGAAGAGACACGGACCATCTGGAAGTTATCACAGGACACAGTTGTAATGATGAAGCTGTCGTTCGGCAGAAAATGTAGAGGCAGTGCAAGAGGCATGAGACCAAAGCATGTCAGCGAGACAGATAGGATGCAACGTGTGTTCGTCCCATATCATCTTGGTCCACGCTTAATGAAGCTTCTCAGTGTATCAGTCTGAGGCTTTTTCTCATCAGGTCTACTTTGCAATTCCAAATGTCACTTGGGATGATTTCAAGTGTCATCCCCCTATACCATCTTGATGGAGATTTTGCGCACTGAATGAGGGTGAACACGAAGTCAATACTAGAGCAAGTTATCAGACTATGGGGAGGTGAAAACAATGGCTAAAAGTTATTCTTTTTGTCATATGATTCAATATTGTAGTCATCAATCGAAGCTCTCCAAAATTTGACAACGATTAAAATGTAATGAATCGCTGCAGAAGCAAGGCTTCCCAGGCCTGCCAGGATAGAAAATGAGTAAGTTCCATCATCAACAAAACAAGTCAAGGATGTGCCAGCACCAGCGATGGGTTTGTCAACAATTGAGTGCTTGTTACCAATTAGACGTGAAGGAAAGCTTCTCAGCGTCAAAGTAACTCTCATTCAAGTTGAGAATACTGCGAAGAGAACCTCAACACAGTGAGATTATTCTACAATTGATAATCAAAGTCGCACGGACCCTGGTACTATTAGAGGACTGGTAATAAGTGTAGGTGATTTAGAAGAGCGGCCCATCTGGAGAGTTATAATTGCCTCATCCTCGCCAATCCTTGTATCAATCTAGTCAGACCAAGAAAAGAGGAGCGAAGGAGCACGGGCAGTCAACCATGCAGCAAAAGGGATTGGTCTGCATGTACATCTTTCTTCTCAACACGCATAGGAGTCGATTGCGAAATCACAGAGTCAGGCGAATTAGTTCCTGTTAACATACGAGTCGTCTTCCTTCCAGATACACAGGCATGCCAATAGTACCAGTAAAAATTAAAAATTCAGATGAGAAATTATTTCAAAAAGATCGATACCGGTACTTATGAGTGTGGTAAGAATAGAAATCGTGGCCCAAATTATCTCTGTAAATAACTTGAGTGATTATCTGAAAGTATGGGAGGACACGCACTGTATATCGATGTAATCTAGATTTTACCCATCGATTACCAGAACCTGATCATCCCCCACGGCGCTTCGAAGAACACAGAAAGTTTTGCTGATCACAATCAAACTAGTCAGGATGGCTGGATATAGTTGAGGGTATAGTTAGGACAAGTTCGGACTGGCGGACCTAGAATATTGGTGGGTGGCTGTGCTCAGTAGACTCGTCACAGCTCTTGTCATGCATTGTCTATGCCAATGACCCCAATCCATCTTCATGCTAATACAAGGCAACGACAATTTCTGTGACTATCTACCACTGCCACCAGTTCGACTTCGTATCCGGCGTTGCACTACCACAAATCCAGGTGGTAATCTATGTTCCATACGGGATTCCATAACTTCGAATCTACAAAAGGATCCCTGTCTATGGCAAGACCAAAATGCGACCGTTTAGAGAGTCGACGACGACGGCTACCAATAGAGGACCGTACTACGGGTCGAGGCTGATGCGTAATGGTAGGAAGGTAGTAAGCCCGACAGTGAACAACGACGACAGTAACCAATTGTTTAACAATGTCTAGTCAGAACCAGTTAACGACAATAGCGCACTCAAAGGTGCTCACCTCATCATGTCGACATCGAACATTCCAAGGCTGGCAGGCATGGCTTCCGTTTGTTCAGGCTTGTGCAATGGTCACCAGTGCAAGTGTGAGAGCTCATCATGGCATGAAATTCTGATACGAACATCGGGTTTGGGTAAATGGAATCATGCTCCTTCCCTTCCTCACATCGGCCATCCAGCACTTTGGGTTACTACACTGTCCACATGCTGCCCATGGGTATCAGAAATAAACCTGTGCGAGTGCGTCTTCAATTTATTCTGGAAATCCAACTTCTTGCTAATTCCTCGTTGATTAGGATAGTCTTGATATTGTCTTACTGATATTTTGTGGTTGATGACTGCGGGGAATGTGATCTAACATGATCAAAAGAGGGATGATCGAGTTGCAGTCAACCATTGAACCCCGCCAATCAGATCATCCGTACGTCCTGATTTGTTCATCTTTCTCTCCTACGCTGACCTGATGTATCTCCTACAGACTCTTGACCCTGTTATGAAGGAGGCTTTGCGGCACATGTTACTTCCAATACTTTGGACCCATGCTTCACAGGCTCTCCGACCTTGTCCAATCATTGTACAGACATGATTCCACCTTTTATCCGCTTTGTACGACAGGACACCATGCATTTGTACCGGATACCACAGAGCCGGCCCTCGGCATAATGAGGGAAAGAAGCCTTCAACCTTCATTGAGGGCTCGTCCCCATTCCTTATACTCAATTGAGCACCATATTCACAGGTATCTATTTAGGGAGACGCTTGCAGTATAGTCATAGGAGCCCAACTTTGATCACCGTTCCGAGAAAGTTCATAGTGGTAGTGCACAGATACGCTATAATCAGGTTGTCGTCTGTTCGGTTTCCTGGGATGTTCGGAACTTATGGTTGGTTTTAGTATCTCGTCCTCTTACTGTGTCTAACGAGATAGCATTTATAGATACAATAATATATATATATATTTGCCAGCTATTGTGCGATCGGCCGTTAATCGACTTCATCCTTCACTGAGATCAAAGCTCCAAACCAGCGCGTTATAACATCTCCTCTTGTTACTCGGGCTCGGTATTCCACATGCCCGAAATGCCATGCCTCTCCTTCCTTCCCGATGGAGCACATTACGACTATGGATAGCAGCCGTCTCTGCACAATAAATGAGGCACTATCCAGGATGAACCGTGGAGCAAGAGATGTGATCACAACCACGGGTTGGGTCACGGCATCGCGATGCATACCCAACAAGGTCACGGAAGGGTGAGACCATCCCTGAAGTGGATATTGAGCCTTTCGTGAGCCTGGGATGGACGGAGAAAGCTAGGTAATTTTTGGCTTGGAGGCTTGGCACGGACAATTTAGCAAGCCTTGTCAGAGGGTCATGCAGATACCTTGGGTGACTGTTACTCTCCCCAACACCTACTCCCTGCTCAAACCGAGCGTTCTGTTGTTAGTACTGTCGTATAAAGGCCTACCTTTGTGGAGAAAGCGCCACAGTATATCGCCCTTTCATTTTCAGTCGAACTGGAAACTAAGGCTCTATTGTTTTTTCTTCCGATGCCAAAGACCTCACTCCTGCGTATTTGAGCATTTGTTGTCGGATTACAAGCAGAAAATGCATAATCAGACGGGTGCCTCCCCTCAAAATAATCAAGAAATAAAGTAACTGTAAGTCGTAGTCATACCCTTCTCTAATATGAAAACTGATAAATGATCTCAGAAATCCTCACTTCAATTGTTCAGTACCCAGTGGTTTCGCTTTTGGGAGCATGACACATATGCAAAAGAACCAACTGGGACCAAAAAGGAGCCATGGTGACGAGACGATGGAGATTCTGATTGAGAACACCTTTAATCCCTCTTGCCTGATCACTGCGATAAGTGTCAGAATGGCTATTGTGGATGGCGCTATAAAGGTACGTGTTATTCGTTAAATATGTCCTAGTTTCTCATAGCTCCTGAAGTCTACAATTTCGCTACGATGTTCCTGTCAGTGTTAATTGATCAGCAACAATACTCTAGCAAGTTGAGCTCGACGATTAATTCCCTACTGCCCATTCCTCCAACCTGCGCCAGATTAAACAGTAGATGGACTGGTAATGGCATTGTCACAACAATCAACTTTGTCATGTATAAAATTCGGGGAAAACGGAAGAAAAGCTGGGAATCTCCAAGATAGCTTGGCTGCAGCTTCGGGGAATGAAAGGAAGAAACAGAGGGTAGGTAGTTAGATACAAGCCACAGAAAATACATTGGTTAACCAGTATCTCTAGGAATTATCGTACATAAAATAGTACTCAGGCTGACTAGGGATAGTCTCAGTCAAGTTAGCTGCGACCTCAGAAGAATCAGAGGATAGAAGTTCCGTATTCAGTTCCCTACAACGGCCGGGGTCTGGAAGGCGGTTGATTGTTCGAGAGACATCTATCCGACGTCAGAAGGTCAACCAATCCCTTGGTGAAATCCTCGTTGTTCCATCTGTTTCTCCCACCACTCTCCTCTGCAATCTGGTACTCCTGGTGCGCTGCGGCTACCACAGTTACATGAGAACCCACATCTGGCTGCCAATCCTTTGATAATACAGATTGATAGTGAGGTAGATGTTGTAGCCTTGTATCCGTGGCACATAACATGTCGTTGACATCAGAATGAGAAGTTGGGCCCATAGCACGGATTTTTGGTTCCAGCCAAGGATCCCTGTTCACGCTTCTGGCGTAACAGCAGTCAGCGATGAACTTGATCTTATGCCCCTTGGCGTATGATATTTGTCTGAAAAGAGCATCAAGCTCTCGGTCGCTGATGTCGGGTATCCAATGTCCATCAGCATCCTCAGTGTCACGATCGATGGGGCACAGAGCTTCAATGGGACAGATACCGGCGCTGCGACATGTAGATCCTGTAGCAGTGCACTGCTCTGAACAGGCATAGGTTGAGCCATGCCCAGCGTAGTAGATGATGATATTGTCGACCTGTTGGATTTTGGGGTTGTGAATGAGGTTGTAGAGCATGTTTACGATGTTGGCATGGGAAGGGGGTATGGTGTTGTCAAGGGTGGGATTATTGGACCCAAGAAGACACTCGATGCGATATTCTGGCACATCAAGCTTCTCGATTAGGAAATCCTTCATCGATAATGCATCAGATACGCAGCCGTGTAAGGGATTGGACTTGTATGCATCGATACTGATAAGGACAGCCCAAAATCGAGAGGTGTGGTATGGGGTCTATGACTGCCAGAATAAGGAAAAGGCTCGACAACTATGAATATATACTTACAGGTCTAAATCTGCTACAAGATTTCGGAAGGGTATGACGGAGGAAATGGAGCCTGCACAAGTCTTCTTCATCGACGACTTCTTGAAGGGAATCTGGACAAGCGCTGAAAATGCTTCCCCACACTAACTGAGTACATCTTGTTGCTTCTTGTCGGACTGCTGTAGAGTCAATGCATATACCTTCGTGAGCCATGTTATAGTCCTGCGCCAGCCGCCTCTCCTCCTCCTCCAAATGCCATAGTTCTGGGAAGCTTGGGTGTAGAAGTGGTGCCTATGAAGCGAATCTGATGAGATGTACACAGTAATGAGTACTCGAGTAAAACCCAAGTTGTGAGCAAGGATGTCTGTAAGCCGAGTTCCAACCACCAAGAGGGATCCGTAAGGGTGTTAACAAGCGCTGGGCATAATTAACGGGTGCATCAGCAAGTGCTAGGCGTAACTGACTGGGTTTCCGAAAAGCACTAGGCGTAGTCGGGAAGCAATTGATTGGCAAGTGCTTAGCGTAACTGATCAGAGATGCTTAGTTCACACAATTAAGTGGACTTCGAAGATGAGTAAAATTAGACTAAGATTCCAATACAATGGCAAGTACAATACTTATATACCACTAGTAAGGAATCGAGTCATTATTATTCTAGTATTTGCAAGGAGAAAGTAAGAGAAAGTAAGAGAAAATGATAGAAAATGCCAGTAAGCCGAGGTCAAGGCTGAGAAGGCCGAGAGTAGGCATGTGTTGACTCATGTGCAGACCGGAAAAGACACGAGATCCATAACAGGGGGAGCCATTCCTCTCAACTTTGTAAGGCTTCTTCACAGTCTATAGGCATGCTAGAGAGATTCTGGAATTTTCAATGCAAAGAAATGGACGATGAAGAAATATACGTACCTAGATGCTTTTGCCACTGGCAGTGGTGCTTGTAGTGTAGTACTTAGATACACTCAATGAGAGCATGTCGAAAGTCGCTGACAGGTTGCAACATGCCTTCGTACACATCCAGAACTGTGAAATCACATTCAGTATGTCTTTCCTTCTTTCCACATCGGCAATAATTTAAACCCACAATTTGAATCAAACCCATGTTTACTATGTCACCCTCTTATACCTGATCATTCACCCATGAGAATAGGATGGAAAATCCCATATGTTTGACGTATGTTGCTGAATGTACATTGTACATGACTGGGCACCAAGCCCTTGGATCCAAGCAGCTGCAGCGTTCGCTTGATGGAACTAAATGCCAGAAGTCCAACATATGTCTTTGGAAGAGCCGAAGGCACAAAACTATGACTCATTGATCGACTCCACCAGAAAATTTTTGTGAAGTGAAACAACCTTACATCATCGATCATGTAGGCCAAACGTATACCTGTAACTGATCGTCTTGAATGAGAGGCAAGTTCACGAGGTCAAACGAACACAATAACTAAACCAGTGCGAGGATGGTTCAAGGTCTCTCATCCATCAGGAACATCTAACGCATCCGAGGAGAGAGCCACAATGGTTTTTACCTTTTTCCCCCTTAATGTCAACCTCAGCTAGCAATGGCTTCAAGTTGTTATTGGCTTGTCAGGTGTCCAACATCATCACACATTTCATGTAGGGAGTTCAAACGACTCCAATCACTATGCATTCAAACCATTCTCATGTCTGCGCACTGGACGTTACATATTGCCATACCAAATGATCATCCGAGTCGCTGGCTGGCATCTGTGCAGTTTTGATACCATATATACACATGCACTGAGTGTTCTAGTAATTGAAATTAACAGATCATGCCAGCAAGGTGAAGAGGATGGAGGATGGAAAGGTGGAGGAGTGCAGGTAGGATGACCTCGCCATGATTACACCGGATAAGGCGCAGCTCATTAAATGAAAGGCTGTCATAGTAGCTTCTAAGTTTAATGCCTGTCGTCCTCAGCCTTCGTCATGAATTAGTCTCTTGTAAATGGAGTCGTCAGTGTCCTGGTCAGCAATATTCCCCATCACAAGGTGGTTGGGGCAAGGGTGACCCAACCGGGAAAAAGTGGCATCGTGATAAGGAGTGGGTACATAACAACCACAGCATTGAGGGAGCAAATGGACCTCGGATTCATGTTCCCCCATCCAAAGAATGGGGTATACACGAGTGTGAGATTGATGGGGAAGCTGGGTGGTGTGCAGGAGCCCAAGGTTTGATGGGATGCAACAGGCAGCAGCAGGGGCATCCCTATCCAGGCCATTTGGGGGCTGCCGAATGGATCAAAAGTATCTATAAAACTCATATTGCGATTAAAAGTAATGAAATATGCCTTTATTTCTGTTCAAACGAGTAGTGGGGCCAGGCAGGCAACTATGCGATAGACCGATGGTGATGGTCAGAAGACAAAAGAAGGGGTACAGCCACTCGATCACTGCGGTTTCACGGACCGGAGCAATGAAGTGATTGTGAAGTGAGCGGAAAACGATGCTGGGGATGCATCCTCTGCTCGAATCTTTCTTTGCTCTGAAGTAACAAAGACTAGTGGAATATAATACTATAATACCTCAGCATACTTTACATATGCAACAATATGCATTCTATTATGGAAAAAAGGTGTCCGATAGGGCTTCGCACTGTCACTGTATAGTACAGTTGTACGGGTGCCATCATATGGGTACCGTATCCATTCCATCTGGCAAAAGACTTTGCCCAGACATGGACGGTATATGGATATCCCATTGCCCATTAACAACCGTATAAAGACGGCCATTATACGGCGCTCAATGGCCGTGTGGGTTGTCTAAAAATAACCCTCATCAGAGCACGCTATACGTGTGTTTACCATGTGCTCAACATCATACCATGATGCGCTAGCACTGCAATCTCTTCAACACTACAGCTAGCTCTTATTTCGCTCGCTCACATGAAGCTCTATTTCTTATGGCAGGCATAAATACTTGCTCTTCCCTACTTCTGCTGCCTCTGCCCTACTCCTGTTCATCCCTTTACTACCCGCTCATGTTTCGAAATACATTGCCCACGGGTGGCCGGTGCACCTGTCAAATATGGCGAGTAATACATTTTCCCACTACTTTATGGCCATCTATATACCTGTACCGTACCGTCAGCCTAGTTCTGAGAGCCTTGACGGTACAGTATACAGACCAGCCATCGCCCATCACTGTACCGTGGCTATATGGCCATATACCATATATGGTATGGTGCAAAGCCCTAGTGTCCGATCGATTCTATGACGATCTGTCCATATATGCTTCATTATTACTTAGTTGCTGATGAGAATAGTATGGACTGATGATCTGTTGTTTTCAGGTTATTTATGAGTCTATAGCAGCACTATAATCATTTAAAGTCTATCGGTGAATGCAAGTGAGAGAACACAGTACATATGCACTAAATCGGAGAAGGACATTACTTACACAGACACCCGGATATCCTGATCCAATACAATTACTGAACGTAGTCCTATCTATCAGTATCCAGATACCAAAGGGACTTGTTTCTGTGGTCCCCGTAGACGACTGGAGTCTGGAGATGTGTGTGGTTCAGATGATGGGTGAGGTCAGTGTATGTCGTTTCCTTCCTACATTCACCCGACTTCAGAACATTAACCAGCTTCCTGGTAAAAAATCCACCCCATTCGTTTCCCCCACCACTCTCTCTCGCAGTCTGGTAATCCTGGCATGCTGTCAAAAATACATGAGAACTCGTATCTGGCCGCCAATCCTGCGATAATACGGAGTCATAGCGAGGTAGATGTTTCAGCTTATTATGTGCAGCACATAACATATCGTTGAGACTGGAATAAGATGTTGGGTTTATGGAATGGATTTCCGATTCTGGAGATGGACCTCAAGTCATGCCTCCAGCGTAGCAGCAGTCAGCAATGACTGTGATCTTATGCCCCTTGGCATAAGATATTTGTCTGAGAAGAGCATTAAGCTCTCGATCGCTGATGTCAGGTATCCAGCATCCATCATCATCCATAGTGTCATGATCGATAGGACACAGCACTTCAACAGTGGTCAGGGAACAGTTACAGGCCATACAACATCTAGATCCTGTAGCAGTGCATTTCCGCTGTGGAAATTTGTACAACGAGCCATGCTCAGCGTAGTAGATGATAAGAATATCATCCTGCTGGATTTCAGAGTTGTAAATGAGGCCATAGAGCACGTTTATGATGTTGGCGTGGGAAGGGGGTATGTGGTTGTCAGTGATGGGACTATTGGACCCAAGAAGACACTGGATGCGATGTTGTGGCACATTGAGCTTCTTGATGAGAAAATTCTTCCATCCCTTCATGTCCATTCTATGTAAAAATCCTTATAACTATAGTGGAACCACTTTTGTAATAATCCCTATAACTATAGGCCTGTCAAATTCATGTATCTGCTAGAAAGCGAAGTTATACATAGCCATGAATTTTCACATGCAATCCATTTCTTGGTCTCTCCCCACCACGTGCCCAACCAATTCCCGCCCGCTCTTGCACTCCCTATTTACGGGTATCAGTAATAAAATATTTAGTATTCACAATTAAAGCATTGTAAAACAAATAAATAAATATAAAATACTATATAATACAAAAATAAATTAACATATAGGCGGCTAGGGATGAGCTAGGGAGCGATTTAGGGATCGATGGCACTAATGAACGTCATGGCAGGCTTGTGAGAGAAAATGGAGACCACCATTGGATCCCCCATGTCTTGGAGGACATTTGACGCCCAAACGGACATCAGTGTCACTGCCGTCATTGGACATCGGTGGCCCAATCTCCATCCTGCCCTCCCACTCTCCCCCTTCCTCCCCAGTATGCTGCCCAGTCTCCCTCTACATCCCTAGCCTAAGATCCACCCTAACCCTCATCGTGCTCGAAGTCTCCTGGCTTTTCCGTTGTTGTTGTCATTGTGGTTGTCACTGTTACAGGTGCCGTCCCGCTGCATGATGAGGTCCGATATGGAAACCCTAGTGATATCCTGTGTCATCATCATGCCGCACTTGCATGTCCAATGACGATCGAGGTCGATGCGCGTGTGGGGGGGCATGGGATGGGTTGTGGCAGAATGTATGTTGTATCGGGGCAATGGCAGGTATGCATGGGTCACGTCGTCAACGTACAGTGTTGTGGTCATATCTGGCAGTGCTGCCTCGGGTGAGGGCTTATGCGTGTGGTGGGGATGAAATGGTCACTACCCAGGGATCTTGGGGCCGCTGGATATGCCAAAAAGACCTAAATTTGACATGTCAGTATAAAAAACAATTCAAACGTACCATATACCCATGACAATGGGCAAAACAGACGAGCGAGAGGGCAGGAAAGGAAGTGGATGTGGAGGAGAGGAACAGAAAATGGTGCTGCACAGCCACTTGATCACGGTACGGTTGTGCAGTCCAGAGTGATCGACCGAGCAGAATGCATCATCGGGATGCTTCCACTGCTCGATGTACACTCTCCGATGCTCCAAAGCATATCGGAATCTTGTATTATAGGTATAAGGATTGTGTATATATAATTTTTAATGCAACAGGATACCCTCATCTCATGATAATCCTCAATTTATGTTGGTTGCCCCACATTTTAGGGCACTTGTAAGCAAATACCAGTTCTATATATTTGTGCACCATCTCAATAGGTATGTTTTTCATTGAAAATGCAAGGTTATGTCTAGTATAAGTCAAAATAATGGTCCAATCCACCCTGATCTGCTTATAGTCTCACCATTATACTGTTTCATGCATAAGAAGTGAAAACAGAATCAGATGAAAGTTCACAAGCTCATTTTGTGTACTACGAGTGTTCATAATATATTCACTTCAGGGCAGATCCATATATGCATTTGTATCATTGATAATTCACACAGGAAGTCTTTTTCTCATTTGTTATATCATTATTTAGATGCACATTGTGCTGCATACTTTTGTAAAAGTTGAATTCAACAATTGTCTCACCATTATTCGCATTTATTAGTCGAATAAACATGAATTAAAGGCTAATTTATTGGCATAAAATGTAAAATCATGAAATATAGATATGACTATCATATTTTTGAGGTACAGAAAGCCCTAGGAGTATGGGATTGCAAGGGTATTCTGTCCTATGCCCCTAATTGGGGTGCATCCGGCAAATTCTGACCATGGTGAGAGGGGCATTTTCCTATAGAAAGCCTAACGGTCACGCTTCAGACATATGCCATTCTGAATTTCAAAATACCATTTATAGTAATCGGACCCAGGGAAGTGCCTTGTTAGTATGACCAATTCAATGGAACAAGATTAATCAACCATATAAGGACAAAGTACTTAGGTCTTAGGAGTAGTCACCTATACACCTCATAAGGCCAGCCTTGTATACAATTTTCTGTAGGCTCAGGAATTAAATTGTACACAATCCTGTGAGGCCTGTAGGCCTGATAAGTATACACATGTATGAGGGCCTAAATCCAACCTAAATCTGTATTTTCTCAACTATTAGGCACATTTCCCATGAGGATGGGCCAGAATTTTCCGTGGGACCTTTCATAAAAATCTATAATTAGCCTGTGAAGTCATCCCATCAATATCTGGCCGAAATCGGCTGGATGCAACCAAATGATGGCATCATAGGGGCTATTTTCCGGTCATAATAAGATTTGGGCTGGCTTCTGGTAGCTGGATGTGTCAGGAAACAGTACTAGAATGTTCATAAGCATAAATAACATAAAAGTAGACCTGCTGATGATGTATGGGGGCTTTGGAGAGTGGGTAGCATAGGTAATTTCGCAAAAATAGCTGCAATATTTGCTTTTTTGGGGTTTTTTAGGGTGATACATGCATTGTATCAACCAGGGAACTCCACCAATGAATTTCCTGACCTTTAAAACCCCAAAACGATCCCTCTATAGCACTTGTGGCACATTTTATTACCAGGATTAGACGAGCACATTAGCTTTTTAAGAGAGGATTGGGGTGCACATATGGTTTATTTTATTTTCTGAGCTTCGGATGAGACTGGGATTGTTACCAATGAATTCCTTGACCTTGAAAACACTGAAATGACTATAGGAACAATTTATCAGGCTCTAGAAATGGTAGTAATGATAATATTACAGTTTAGGAGGAGCACATATGGAAAATCACTTTTCTGTGCCTCGGAATACTTCAGAACTTCTACCAGTCTGTTAATTGACCTCAAAATACCTCGTATAACACAAGGATTTAAAGAAAACCTACAAAAATACATGTTAAAAAAGAGTAATAGGGGATGGAGGAGATATACCTTGTATCACGCATTTCTAGTGGTTGGAGAAGGTATTCCTGTTATCTATTAGACGATATATATTCTATAATCATTTGTTCAAATTTCCACATTTATCCGAAATGTATTGGAAGAGATATAAGCATATCATTCTGCAAATGATGAGGAGCACATCCCCAATTTCGATATTCTGATCATTCTATAGCTTGGGGAATGTCAGAATCGGATTCCTTGACCCAAAAATGGTATGGTCACCAATCATACATGGTTATTTTATCAAGAAAACATCTAATGGTAAGAACAAATCAGACTGCAGCAATTATCAAGGAAAGTTCATATTGTCCTTCGGAGTGTTGACACTTCGCTTCCCATGGATGATTGGTGACCCTACCATTTTTTGGGTTAGGGAATCCGATTCTGACATTCCCCAAGCTATAGAATGATCAGAATATCGAAATTGGGGATGTGCTCCTCATCATTTGCAGAATGATATGCTTATATCTCTTCCAATACATTTCGGATAAATGTGGAAATTTGAACAAATGATTATAGAATATATATCGTCTAATAGATAACAGGAATACCTTCTCCAACCACTAGAAATGCGTGATACAAGGTATATCTCCTCCATCCCCTATTACTCTTTTTTAACATGTATTTTTGTAGGTTTTCTTTAAATCCTTGTGTTATACGAGGTATTTTGAGGTCAATTAACAGACTGGTAGAAGTTCTGAAGTATTCCGAGGCACAGAAAAGTGATTTTCCATATGTGCTCCTCCTAAACTGTAATATTATCATTACTACCATTTCTAGAGCCTGATAAATTGTTCCTATAGTCATTTCAGTGTTTTCAAGGTCAAGGAATTCATTGGTAACAATCCCAGTCTCATCCGAAGCTCAGAAAATAAAATAAACCATATGTGCACCCCAATCCTCTCTTAAAAAGCTAATGTGCTCGTCTAATCCTGGTAATAAAATGTGCCACAAGTGCTATAGAGGGATCGTTTTGGGGTTTTAAAGGTCAGGAAATTCATTGGTGGAGTTCCCTGGTTGATACAATGCATGTATCACCCTAAAAAACCCCAAAAAAAGCAAATATTGCAGCTATTTTTGCGAAATTACCTATGCTACCCACTCTCCAAAGCCCCCATACATCATCAGCAGGTCTACTTTTATGTTATTTATGCTTATGAACATTCTAGTACTGTTTCCTGACACATCCAGCTACCAGAAGCCAGCCCAAATCTTATTATGACCGGAAAATAGCCCCTATGGTTACTGTTTCTTAAATTGGATGTGACTGTTACAACTGACCATCTGTTCTCAGTCATGCAATTGGTCAGCAGTGAGACCATGTGAAGGGATCAGAGGATCACATGACTCATACGTGTTCACAAAGTAGGCCAATTTATCAGTGTGAGGTGAGGGTCTTGGTGCAGACATTGTGTGACAGAAGAGATTTAAGGCTATGTTGAGGGGAAGACACATTGTGTGAATAGTAAGGTGTGTACTCACATGCAGTGTACTGATGAGATACAAATGATTATTTAAATAGTTGGAACACTCTCATGCTTTCCATGATTTGACACACAAGATAGTGAAGGCATTTGATGCATATACATTGGGGAGCAGGCCCTATGCCTGCACTATGACAGAGATTCTGTATCAGACCAGTTATATGATAATCAGATAGATATGAAAAGTTATGATGATAGGACTGATGACTCAGTCTTTTTCCATCTGGAAAATCAAGTCAAGTGCAGGTGAAAGTGGTACTCATGCATTATATTTCTTGAGATAGGAGAGGAAAACAGACCCGACATTGTGCATATTATTAATATCAATATTTCTTGCAGTGAATAATCAAATACAATTTTGGTTATATATAATATACTTTTAGTTATTATGTATATTAGTATATATGATATAATGTCTAATTATTCTAAATCCATAAGCCATTGTGTCCCAGGGGTACTCAGGTACCGATCTATTCGGAATGACATATGTCTGAGGCGCGACCGTTAGGCTTTCTCTATTTTCCTGTTTGCATATCAGTTGAATGACAGTATTTAGACTCTGTTAAGCATTTATATATCACATAAATGTATTTTAATTAAACCGAGCCTAAATAATCCATGTGCAATGCAGAATTTTACCCAGCTTTCAAAGCCGACAGAGCTGCTACCGCATTGGGAATGATATTTTCCCACAGTTTTATACATCCAGCTAAAATAGGCTGCACATGGGTCAGGAGACAATAGTAAATCATTAAATATTATTTTTCTGGGCTGCGATTTTTTTTTCGGGCCCAAGCAATGAACGCTGATCCAGTGCCCGTGGACCCTAACTTGGCAGCCATACGGCAACAGTTTCTGGACCTAGCTAGGGCTGGTGAGACTGCTACAAGGGATACGTATAATTAGGAATCAAAAAGTGATGGCATCCCTACAAGATACGTATAATTTGACATTACTATAGTTATAGGGATTTTTACAAAAGTCACTCCACTATAGTTATAGGGAATTTTTGTAGCGAATGGACACTATAGCCTCATTCTTCATCAATAAAGCGTCAGATACACAGCCCTGTAAAGGATTGGACTTGTATGCATTGATGCCGATAAGGACAGCCCAAAATTGAGATGTGCGGTGCGGGGTCTACGGCAGCCAGGATAAGCAAAAGCTTGACAACTATGAATATACACTTACAGCTGCGGTAGGCAACTGGGAGACTCTCCCAGAATCGCCAGCAATGCGCGTGGCATGGTCCCTCCGAATGCTGTCGAGCTTTATCAAATCATTTACATCTTTCTTTGACGTCGGCATTCCAATAACTTCTAGAGAAACCCCACGAACATATCCTTCTGAGGCAGCACGCTTTGTTGCTTCTTGTAGTACCACCTCAGAGTCGATACCTTGATCAGAGTTCATTCCGAAACGCCGGGCGAGCCTCTTCTCCACCCCCTCCAGATACCATAAATCCTGAAGGTTTGCGCATGGAAATAGTGCCTGTGTAGTGAACCTGATGAGAGAGGTGCTGTGTTCGCAAGCCAAACTTACCGAATGGCGGCTTTGAGTGGGCATTTGTGGTAAGGATATTTTGGGATGACTGATAATCTGGAAAGTGGTGCGTCAACCTTCATCTCAAACTGAGTAAGAGATAATAGATGAAGAAAAGACATACACCCTGGATGTTGTACGCTGAGGACAGAATTCCAGTAGCGAGGATGTTTTTGTTACACGGTTTGTCTTTAAAACAACGGGGCATGTAGGCGAAGCATGTTAGTCTCACCGAGAAGATACAACATGCCCCTGCTGACTCCAGGTAAAAGACTGCGAGGGTTGAGACTCAACTGACAGTGACTCGTCATCACGCATTTCAATGCGTGGGGAGTCCAATTCCGAGTCCTATATGTATATATAGGTATTCGGTCTTTATACCAACCTGGACGCCCTTTTTTGATCGTCCAACATGGGAATTGCCATCCGATTCTCCCTGGGCTATCTGTGGGAAATTTTCGTCAACATTCATCATTTTCGTGGGATTTCTTTTCCTTTTTCTTTCCTGTGCTTCTGCTGTCGTCTTATTCAACCTGCCTATTCATCTCATTTGCCTTTTGCACTCTTGTATTATAGTTACATTATTTTGTCTTCTATCCCCCCCGACCCTTCACCCGTTTCCCGTCTTTTTTATTGCTCGCCTCTTCGTGTTCATCCTCTTCCATAAAATATATCTTGCGCTTAAAACCTCGACTCCCTTGTCCTTCCGTTGTTGCTTTGCCTCCTGCAGATGCCACCTTCACTCTGACTGCCGCCCTTTTCTTTGTGTGGACAGAGTAGGTGCATGCGTTCCGTTTTTTTGTAATAAATTTGGTGATGCGAGTGGTATAAGTGATTAACATTACGACGGCTGACTGTTAAATAACTTGTCACTTACCTGTGTGAAGTCGCTGTCTATAAGAGCCACCGCCCTCAGGATTGGCTTGATATGGTGCTTCCTCTTTTTCCCTCTTATGACAGCCAACGTGACTTGTACCTTGACTATGTCGCCTGCCCTGAACAGCTGCGGTTTCGCTCAGACATATCTGTGTTACGCGACATCGTTCAGTCATTTGCATCACCTCCGTGTTTGCTTTTCTCACCTTCTTTTGCCTCCGTCGTCTACGTTGCTCCTGAAGTAGCATACTACGTTCTCTTCGGTGTGAACTAAGCCCAGTCATACGAGTTGCTGCAGCGCTCCATTGGGATCTACTTCCTTCGATATCGGCATTACCTCCTCGCTTTCTCCCTCTATAATTCTCCTGAAGTATCGGTTGGTAGACTCCATTGCGTCGAAACTGTGGTACGTGGTTGGTCTCCATTGTTCTAGCGCCTCTTGCTTGAACTCCCTTTCCACCATCAGGCTCACCTCTTTCGGTTCCTCCATCGCCTCCTTGAAATATCTTGACCCTAATCCCATAATTGTTATTTTTTGCGATAGCGTGCTTGGCTTGTCCGATAATGACCTTGACCTTGTCAGTGACCAAACCCTTCTGCTTTCAATCTGACCAACTTGTACTCACTTTCGAACTTTGAACAGGGGGGGTAGGTCTAGGCCGCATATGATCCCGTTAGCGGTGAATCTCCTTCCCTTCGTTCGTACTCTTGAGTATGCGCCATACGTGACCCGTTCCATCGTCTTCGAGTGATACTTTCTGCATGGACCGGTTCTGCGTGTTTTAGTTCATATTGAATACCTGTTTTATGGTACGTATTGTTGATACCTTGGTTATTGCACAAAGATGGTACTCATTTTTTTGGGCGCTTTCTGCCGTGTATATTTCCAGTGCTTCTCCTTATTTTCTGTATCAGAAACATTGTAAACCTTGGAAATGTATGCACGTACTTGCTTTATCCACATCGTAGAATTCGTTCATTCTACAAGTCTTTTTGTCGGGTTTGGATTGTTCTCTGGTTACGGTTACGAGCGACCACGCTTGGTTGCGACTTGAACTGTCCCATTCAGATCTTCATTTTCGCCTTTCGCCTGTGCACCGTTGGTGTGATCGTTCATGTGTGTAAAGAAGAACCGGTTCGTCTTTGTGGGTCGAATTTTCGCACTTCTCTGTCTGTCAGTATGTATCATGTGATTGATTACACATCCACATCACATGTTTGTGCAAAGGTATCATTTTTATTTTTGGCAACCTGTCCTCTTGATCACCCACTGTGTGTCCCTTCTTAATGGGCCGTTCGATTGTGGGGATGGATATCCTCACCCCATGTCTTTTTCGCCCTATCGTGCTTTATTATCCTCGTGCTCATCATTTCTGTACTTTCTCTCGATATGCCTCCTCATCCTACATAGCGAACATTCCTGTTCGCTGCCCTTCTCCACTGTTAATAATTGTTCCTTTTCTTTTGTGACTAGACGTTCTCGCAAAATAAAAGAGAGGTCCCCCTCAGTAGAACTTCTCAATGCTGTTGAAGTTGCACCTCCCATCGACAAGGTTCCCGAAACAATTCTGTCCCCTCGCAAAAGGGTCAAGCCTACGCCTGTCGGAAGGTCCGCCACCCTCGATAGGTGTGGTCTACTTCATCTTCCTTGGTATGCGTGCTGATGATATTGAAGGCCTGTTCGATTGTCTATTCAGAGTGCTCACTCTGCGGGGTATGTCCTGTCTTTGACTGTCTGCTTTCTTGTATGAATTTCGATCCTCTGTGCTAGTAGCAATGTTCATTCCACTTGTTCTTATCGTGCTCCCAAAGAGTTGTTGCCACCGGTGTCTATTACATGCATGGTTATATTTGTTGGATTTGTGTCGTATGCTGACTTTCGTATACGTTGCGTTGAACAGTTCTCACCAGAGTAGGTCGTCCGCTCCTGTACGACGTGCTTCCATGTCTATCGGTGACGTTTCCAGTGATGAGATAGACTCTGTCGTGGCGAGGTCGGATGTCGATGCCGATATGCCTGATGCCGTTCGCAATTGTGTATCAGATATTATTCCTGCGGCATCACTCCTTCGAGGATGCAGATTAAGCAAACTATATCGCAGTATTTGTCTTCGACTCAGCAATATCCGTCGAGAATAACATGTACCGAATGTGGATCCTCCACGCACAAAATAGAGCGTTATCACATATCCCCTGATATAATTCCTGTGTACATTGAAGGATCGTCTACCACACCGGACATTTATTTTACGTTGAATGTAAATGGAGAAGATGTGGGTTACATGTTAGCCGGTGTCATATATTTTGGAAATGCACATTTTACAGCCAGGTTTATAGATAACACGGGAAATGTATGGTTTAACGATGGTTATGTCAATGGGAGAAAATCGATCCTAGAAGGTGAAATGATTCACATCGACTTTTCAATTTCACCTGATGAGAGGGAGGGAGCCTGTGATGGCAATATACAGGAAAAACTGACTACATTCCGCATTGTAAAACAACGTGGACAGGGGGGACGTACTTGGTACAGGACTCGGATAATGCCACTCGAATGCGATGGCCATCAAATGCTAGTCATTACTAGCTGCTTCCTATGAATCTTCAGTGGCACAGAGATCCTGTCACCTTCTGGACGTTTTACTGTACCAAATTACCACCTAAATCGAGAATCGTTGCGCCAAACGAAGTGCTAGGGACTGAATCGATGTGACTGCCGGCAATGCGAAACGTGCGGAGGGTTCGAAAGGCCGGAAGACTACAAATAGAGTCTAATATAATGTTTGTGTTCCCCTTCACACCATTCACCCATGGAAAGAGATCCTAAGCGCCTCCATGTACATTCCAACTATCTTTTTTTTGTAAGGGTCATTTGGAACCTGAATGGGGTGGTGGGGGTGATGAAGCGTACTGTGATGATTTATTCGCGCCTAATTACTAATAATACATGCTTAATAGTTGAATCTTGATGAACTCGTTCCCCGTGAAGGCGCTCCTTTGTGACATTTTTTATCGACAACGGAATCACTCATTTCGACTTTAGAGAGGAATAATGTGGCCCTGAAACGACCGCCACAAATAGATAAAGGAGCGAGAAGCCTTTACTTTTTGGTTAATGTCCGTCAGAACTTCAGCGTCAGTGGTACCTGTTTCACCACAGTGATGGAAACTTTTAGGATGCGGACTGACGAAAATTCCAGGGCATTGATAGGTCGAGAAGCACCCACTTGGTAGGCGCCGCACGTTTGTTGAACCCACTGCCCTGATGGTCCCTCCTCATTTACCTTTCTCGAAAGGACGCAGCTTATGGGGGTTTCGCACAATGTATTGTGACCGTTGATGCGGCTAGCAAGTAAATTGGCTTCCTCGATTTCCCATTATCCGTACCCATGTTCGTCTTCACAGCTCATGAGTGATGACAGTCCTAGGTTAAAAACCTCTTGAATGCCTTGCCAGCGAGCCCATGGCACTGACGGCGGGTGGCATACGTGATCTGATTCGAGGACGGGGGAACTGTGATGAGAAATACTGGAGTTGTCGTCAAATTCCCTACCACGCTTGGGGAAGGGCCATCGGAATGCTACAAACAAATGATTAGGAACGGAACAGCGATACAAGAGCGTGAAATGTGATTCACATGTAGCACTGGTATGCGTATTGATGAGGTCGCTCAATGTATCGAAGGACTTGATACAAGTCTTGCGGGGGTATTCTCTGTGTTCCTTGTGGGGAGTATCAGCGTCTTCTCACGATATCGGAGACTGGAGGAGACTTGCAGTGAAACGGTGGAAGGTATGCGATTGGCATGGGAGAGACGCGGATGATGACTGGTGTTTGAGTGAGGTGAAAGGGTCAGATTGAAGTACATTGAAAGTGTAACGTACATTTCTGTTGGACGATGGCATATCTTGAGTGTGAGAAGGCATTAGCATCGGTAAGGCACATCACCAATCTGGCAGAGCGCGCGGTGGGTGTTCTGGGAATATATTGTGGGTGGTGGGAGGAGCAGAGACGGAAATGGGCATATGAGGTGCTTCGGGAAAAATGAACGCATCCCAAATCAGTTGTCATCCCATATCCGCCCAATCTGTCCTTCAAGTCAGTGTGAACCTCTAAGACTGAATAGAAGAGAGGAATCTGAAGGATAGCTGGATCAGCAAGGAAGACACAAGTGGCGGGAAAAAAACATACATTTAAAGAGTGCTATGCTTACCCCACTGTTACATCTACAGTGGCCTTTATTCGCAAAAGTCAGGTCTCTGTCCAATACGCTGTTGTCTCTATCGCGATCATCATCAAGCTCCTGGATGTTTGTTTATTTCCAGACACGTCTGTACTCCTGAACAGCGGCTGATAGTCGACAACATTGAGTATTCATGGTCATGTTTGCATGGCGAGTGAGTGACGGTTGTACCAGATCAACGTTACGTGTGGAGTATGAGAAGCTACGGAGCCACTAGACTAGCACTAGATGTGCAAGAACATAAGATAAACAGATTAGCACTGGAAAGCAAGAATATACCTTTGTCCCATGGAGCTCTGATATATCGGTGAGCGGAAGGATGCCACATGCAGTAAGGGAATTAAATTGGAAAGAAAAAGACGCCCAAAAAGATTGGGAAGGCTCGCGTCGACATGGGATGTTGTGCACAAACAATTTCATGCTAATTTCGGCAAAAGCCATGATTCCCATTTTCAGGAGGTTCGTCCGGGTCGGACTCGAAGTTCGGATGCATTTGTCACCACAATCTCGTGCACAAATGTACCTCGACCTGTGAACCGCGTGCTAGTCATTACCAGCGCCTGGCTATGATGGACGTCCGTCATTTGAAATAAAGTTAGACCCTCGCTTGATATCACTGCGAAGTATGTGCTGGCAGACTGACAAAGATTGTATTAAGCATACTGAATGCCTCGCATTGCAACACCTAGACCGTGGCTATGCCTTCTACACCTGGTACCAAATACGATCATATTTATGGTCCCCAGCAACCACCGGAGTCTGCGTATATGACTGGTTCAGAAGATGGGTCAGCCCAACATATGTCGTTTCTTTCCTCCAGGCACCCGACTTCAGCACATCCACCAGTGTCTTGGTGAAAATCCCGCCGTATCCCTCCTCTCCCCCAATTTCCTTCGCATACTGATAATCCAAACAAGCGGCAAGAATTACATGAGAACCCGTATCTGGCTGCCAATCCTTCAACAATACAGATGGGTAACGGGGAAAATGTTTTAATAATTGATCTGCAGCGCGTAGCATATTGTGGACATCGGAATGAAAAGTTGGGTGTGTGGTGCGTATTGCTGAGTCTCCGTCCTGTCGGTCAAAACTGCTGGCGTGGCAGCAGTCTGTAATGAATGTAATATGATGTCCCTTCTTGTGTGATATCTGGGTGAAGAGTGTATAGAGCTCTCTTTCGCTGATGTCGGGAATCCAGTGCTTATCGGAGTCCATAGTGTCTCGATCGATGGGGCACAGAGCATCGATAGGACAAGCACCGGTTTGGCATGTAGATTGTGCGGAAAAGTGCTCTGAGCAGTAATAGCTCGCGCCGTGACCGGCGTAATGGATAATGATGTTATCGCCCCGTTCAATATCAGGGTTGTCAATGAGACCACGGAGTGTTTTCATGATGTTAGTGCGAGAGGGTATCGATGGATCATCTGGAGGGGTAGGATTATGAGAGCCGAGGAGGCACTGGATACGATTTTCAGATACGCCGACGTCTTCGATCAGCGATTTCTTCATTAACAGTGCATCTTCAACACAGCCGCGCAGGGGATTAGATTCGTATGCATCGATGCCGATGAGAACAGCCCAAAAACGAGGCATGCCAACGTGGTGCGGGATCTAGGACAATTGATATGAGCAACAAGGGACTTATGTTCGGGACATTTATGCTTACAGCTGGGGCCAGGGTAGGCTGAGAATTGGGTGCCGCAAGGTTACGACGAAGGTCGCAAAGCCGATTCAGTTGCTTTACATCATCGTTACCTGGTACCAATAAGTTGGATGTTCGAAGGAAGCCCAAGACAGCGCTGCAAAAACGTGCCCATGGTGATTTAGCTCTCCTTCGTGCTTCTTGCAAAACCTTCTCGGAGTCGACGCCTTCAGGAGAGACCATCCCAAACGTCTGTGCGAGCCGCCTCTCCACCTCTTCCAAAAGGCGTATTTCCTCCATGTCCGGATGTTGAACCGGCGTCTAGGTAGTTAATCTGATGAGAGGGAGCTACAGCATCTATAATCATAATATAGGCTCGTACGGGAGGTGGGCTTTCTTGGGGGGCCAGTCCTGGTGAGGCCGAACGTCGACGGCCCGAAATGTGGTGCGTCTGCAAATTACGCTATCGTCAGGAATGGAACAAATGACGACAAGAGACCCACGGTTCGAACGAGTGAGCGGAATGACATCTTAGTCATTGTAGAGCAATTCACGGGGATTGAGCGGGAACGCAGAGGTCTGCGTGCAGCTTCGTGTGGTTTAAAATGCTCCCTGGCTTCCACGTTGCCTTTGCCGATAATACGCTATATCTGCCGTTCGCCCCGTAGTCTGCGCATCTTCTCACGAAAGATTACCTATTTTTGAGGGAAAATCGCTGTACCCACCACAATTTATCTGCTTTGTTAGCACACTGGTTTCTCATGCTCTGTACCTGAGTGAGTCAGAATCAGTGTCAGGTGGCCGCCGCAGATGGAGATAAAATTCTTAGGAGTCGACTAGCAATTTCCCCGATCTGTCGTTATCCGCAATTATTTCGTAGTAAAGTTCAAGTTTACTACGTAACCTTTGAGTATAATCTGGTTTAAAGCCGCTAGCAGACTTCACTGTGCCGCGTTGCCAAGCAGACCACTAACTAAGAAGGTCAGCAAAATGAAGATGGACTGAATAATTCACACAACTTACAAATGGAAGTGTATCATTGCTGGTTGGCGGCTTTTTGAGTCTAAAATTTCGTTTTTGACCGTCTTCTTAAATTCTATAATATGGGATCTAGAAAATATGACGAGAGAATTGTCTTTCGTACTACTCTGCGCACCAATGAGAGCCTACTCTTAATGAAGAAAAAGCGGCTTCCATTGCTGGGACTCGTTCCTACTTCTCTGAGCGATCCGTCCGAGAGATTTTTGCAAAAAAGAGGTACAAAAATAATCTCGACATACCGTTCACCGGTCCATGCAGAACGGTGTCTAACAGAACCAGCATAGCCTCAGCAATATCCAGTCGCCGGTATAGGTTGATTTACAGGATTTGTGACCGAACGTCGCGTCGAGTGCGCTCTTGAGTTGTGCCCTTGGCAGCGAGCTTCCTTCGGCGAATACGCTGTAAGATCGGGTACGCATGCACTCATAAGTAATGTGAGTAGAGGATCATAGCTTGACATGTTGGTGAGAGATAAGAATGAAAAAAGGAGTGAGTGATTGGTGAATGACCACGCTGGGCACTTGGACAAATTCCCTGTCAGTGCCTTGGCGCGTCGGCGACATGTAAGCTGGGACAGCCTGAAGAGGGAACATGTAGTTAGTTTTTTGTACTGTACGCCACGGTCGTCTCTACAGTGGACCATGTCGTGCAGTATGATGATGATGGTGGTGGTGGTAGTGGCGGTAATTTTTAGCGGGTATCTTACGCAAAACGTGGGACTACGTGGACATATATTTGCCGTATCGGCCATAACTGATCTTGCCAACTTACCATCCATCCACTCCGCCTTTTTCCGGATAACCTCCGCTTTCAGTCACAAAGGAACCCTGTGTGTGTATTTACTTGGTATCAGAATAGTGTTCACTGACCCAGTTTGTTTGGGTTCGAAGACGCTGCCAGCATCGCAACCAAGCTCTAGCGGGATGCCGATGCAGCCAGTAGTTTGCAGGCCGGAGAACACTATCCTCTGAAAAGCACTCTTTGACTAGTCAAGCAGATTCCGAAAGAATATATACATTATCTCAAACGCGCTGGTGCCAGGCACTTTCAACAGCTATCGACACCCGACGCAGCTGGTAAGCCTTGGCTGCCGGTACTACGAGGGAATATGATCATCTCTGAGGAGCCTGAGGAAGAATGATGACCTATTTCTACCATCAGTCACCGTCTCTCACGCACTTGCGGATGCAGTTCTCGTTATATCAGAAGCAAACGAAATCATAAGCGACTGGCAACACGACCATCGCCATGTACACAAGAAGATCAAGACGTTCTATGAGCCTGACCTGACTAGGCGCAGGTCGTGGAACACGCCAAGATGGTATATGATACTGTTTTTAGTTCATTATTCGACAGACGGTGCTTTGGAAGCGAATGAAGGAGTTCGTGTAGCCGTTTCGCCTAATTTGTGTTGTTTACGCTATTGGACAGGAGGACGAGGAAAGTTCCCTTTGCAGGACCGATATACTTGGTTCTATCCTGATCGTATTCATTTGTGTCTTTCATACTCCTTTTCGTCGAGTCGATGCGTGCTTCTCGCAGTTATTTGATTTCGCGTTCATCCCTTGAAGCTATCCACCATTCTCATTTCACACTAGTCACCCATGGTGATTCCAATGTCCGTTTATTTAGTATCTACTCATCTAATTTTACCTTCTATATATCATTCGCCATCAATTCACCACCTTGGTTTCAATGCCATAGTCGAGAAAGGTTTCCTGGTTCCTGAGTCCTGCACGATGTATACCTCGCTTCATACCAGATGCTGGTTGATCGGCCACAAGTCGAACTTCACCTGCCTCAATTGCGCCCTTAGAACTCCCCCTGGTTCTAAATCTGCATCAACACGGGGTGACTTTCGTATAGTCTTCAATGCCCATGTCTTCCCATCGCTCATCTCCGAATCTTCCTCCTCAAAGAATGTTCCTATGAAAGCTGCGGAGATCGATACTCTCATGTATCTAGCGCCATCGCAGAGGGCCTTGACAGTTTCACCTTCCTCCTCTTCTCGGCCTCCGCACGACCTGATTTATGAAAGGAGAACTCAGGTCGCTGTTCGTGTTGTTAGTCCAATACTAATAGACTGCCAAGAAGGTTCTACTACGGCATTCGACAATATGAAAGGTATCGAGGGATAAAATGGTGGAGGAGCACAAGTAAGATGAACCCGTCGTGTTGGCCTTCTCTTCACTTCTTTCCTATTCATGTACAGAAGGAGAGTCGACGTGTTGTGGCAGAGCGGATATGAGAAAGCCTGAGAAGAGTTGGCATGGGAATCAGTAAGCTCTGGAATAGAATGATACGCGTGTTGAAGAATTCCACCAAAGAAGTTTCGCTTCGCGCTTAACTGGTGGCTCGAAGTGCCGACAAAAATAGACCATAGGATAAAGCCCTCTTGTTACTTCGTCTGCTTGCGAAGCTACCTCAGAGCTAATTAAATAATTTCTATCAGGGCCGAAATGAGGGATCTCATTGACAACAACAAAACTACTAAGCAAGGACATACTGCATTTAAGAAAACGTTCATTAACTATCAAGAGCGCGGCTTCGATAAGTGCTTGACGCTCAGTGATATGATGGAAGGATAACTTTAAACCGCTAGTTTCGTTTCGCCGTAGATGGAATTCTTTTCATGCATCGGATACAATATCCATAAGAGCGAGGGTTGAACCAGGGACTTTTCGGTCCGGGGCAACAATGTTTTCCGGGCGTTATTGAAATGAGCGTTGCAAGGACCGGGAATATTAGCATCTACATGTTGTCGTGTTGCAGATCTGTGCCAGGAGGCTAACTAGTCTTCTGGCCTCGGGGATGTATCTTGAAAGTACTTGCCAATGAAAGGGTTGAAACCAGTGCTGGCACCCGACAAGTTCGATCTCTACCGTCATACATGACGTCGCGAAAGTTAAACTCATAGATTCGTGTAGGCCCAGGACTCTTCGAAGACAAACAGAAGGTGCATGACCCTCCGACTGAATGCCTGGGTAAAAGAGAACTTTAATTCCCGATGTCAGTGGGGGGAAAGGCACAATGGACCCTCATCAAGCGTAAGTATAGCATAGAAGACCTTTTTGCGTGTCTAACACGTCGCCAACCTACATTGCGGGCATCAGAAGAATCCTCAGAACGAGTAATCCAGAACGTACCATCGCATTAGGGAGGATATCAAAAAGGTACAACACCGTGTCTTTGTTGGTTTCCTGGTAACGAACAGTTTAGAAAATGTTCTACCCGAAATCCAGGTAGGACGTACAACATAACCAGTATCAGGTTCTTTCTGTGTCTCATACCCTATTCCTTCAAGGTCGTTGATACGAGTCTCGTTGTCGCCCTGCCACCTCCACCACATCTGCAAGAAATAATCCATATTAGCCCAGCTGGAGTGGAAAACAGCAAACACTAGAGGGTACGCACGTAATCCACATAACCATGGTGCATCCAGAAGATAGGGTCATTAGGCGACGTCTGTACATCGAATACCTATCAAGAAGCAGAGATAAAATTCACCGATGTAGACAAAGAAGGTCACCCACCTCTCCTCCAATACCGATATGTCCGGCTGCATGAAGGCCAGCAAACATCGTATCCTTGAACGTCGCAAATGTGTCTAGTTCAAGTAGATTTTCCACGAATATCTGTCCTGCCTGGAGTGACCACGTCACATTCTCCTGCCGTGTAATCATATGGTTCGTATTCGTCGATCCAGGTCCAAGATACCGTGTGAGGTTAGCAAAAGGGCCATCAACGACGACCCAGTCGTTTGCCTCGGTGCCTTCCCCACCAAAGTCGACCACGACGGGGGAGGTAGTGAATGAACCGGCGTCGACGACCTCATTCTAGTAAGAGATCTGAAAGTCGTAAACAGAAGGGCTATATTTAATCGATGGTTGGCAATGGGGGAAACGCCTGCACTTACCGGACCAATATATCCACACTCTGAACGTAAGAGTGTTTTCGTGAGCATGGACGAAGTAGCGATGAACCTGCAATATAAAGTTAGATTGTCGATTAAGGAGCCAGGAACGAAAATTTGTACATGTAAGAATCTACGAAAGAGACCACAAAATCCTACGGATAAGTGAGAGTAATGATCATTAATAATAAGCCACTGACTGTCCGGTTACATGCCAACGATCGTTGCCGCCTAACAAATCACTTTGTTCAGAATGGACACCGACCTAATCAGATAAAGACAAGTTAAAATATCCCCAAAGAAGCATACTATGAGCTAAGACTAACCAAGTCATCGTAGCGCGAAACGACATCTGGAATGTTAGTTTGGGCTGGGGCAGCAAGGAGGCAAAGTTCTGCCGCGAAATAAGCGTCTTTCTCCTCTTGTGTTAAAGTGTTCCTGCATGAAGCGTTGAGAGTGTACTAGTGGCAAGAAAGCAATAGTTACCATTCTACGCGAGTAGATGGCTCTGTACAGCCTGACCGTTGACTCGAACTCGAAGCTCTCGGGAGTATTGCTAGTGTGCCAGTTAACTGGACGGCAGCAAAGGCCAACGCGAAGAATCTGAAAAATGCCGTATGCATGCTAATTTCAGACGAAGCGAAGAGACAAAGGCGACGAGGAAGAACTCGACTGGTGTACTTCTCATTTGAGAGAGGTAACGTTTATATTTCCTTCTTTGCGGACGTTCACTTCCGTAACTTGTCAGCAGGTAAGTGTCATGACGCACAAATAGCACGTAAAGCTCCAAGTTCGAGTCCATTTGGTTTGTACGTCGAAGTCTGGGAACATTCTTTGTCGGTTATCGACTCCCGTGATTTATCATGACGACATGTTCTCTCTCGTCATGATGGTCGGCTAGATGTTCGACCTTCCAGTTCGACGATAGTCGCCTCAACTTGAAACTTGGATTTTTATTTTTAAGGTAATACAAGTTCTGGCCTTGAATGACAGAGATTAGACAGCGAGAAAGAAGGCTAGACTATGTAAGGGACATTACTAAGATATGCATGTTCAAATTACGGAAGGTGAATTTGCAGTTGATGGTCCATGGTACGGTCGACTTCATATTGTGTCCAACACCCGTCAGTGACTGAAATAGGGAAGTTCTCAGCAGGGACAAGCTGTTCCGAGTCCTATGAATATAGGTTTTTTCGGTCTTTATACCATCCTGGGATCCGATTTTTGATCGTCCAACACGGCGTTTGCCGCCGCATTCTACCTGACCTCTTCGTGGGAATTTTTCGTATCGTCCATCATTTTCCTGTGACTTTGCTTCCTTTTTGGAATCCAGTCTTTTACGTTCTCTCCGACTTATGATACTATAGGTTCGCGATGCCATGGGCGATTATGTGTTTTTTGGCGCTTTCTATGGAGCAATTTTAATGGTTTGCAGAATAAAAACCCTATTGCTTGAGTGATGCACGTAAATTGAGAGATACGTTGGAGATACGTTGATTTTGTCTTTACATATTGTGTCATTTTCAATGTCCTCTCTGCCGTCCTTCAGCTAATTGCAGCGGGAGCTTGTTTTCTCGTCGGCAAGTGGTGGCCAGCAATGTCGGACTTACAATTTGACTTTGACATATGCTATGATGCAATGTGGCATATAGTGATTTTTTTGACACTTGCACCTTGGCCACCTTCCGATGCTTGGTCTACTCAATGGAATCCCCAAGGATATTTCTCTTAGTGTTGGAAGATTTTTTTGGACATACATTTGTTTTATTATTTTTATTACGAAACGGAGCACAGGCTAAAGCTACGGAAAATCTTTATCGAAAATAAGGAATCAAACTCCGTACACGATCGACCAGTATTTGATGTCGACCCAGCAATATCCTTCTAGGATAATATGCAGAGAATATGAAGGTCCCACCCATAAAACAGAGCAGTACAACTTGTGTTCCGAACTTCTTCCAGTTTACATTGAAGGTATAGATACCGAGCCAGACCAGACATTCTCGATGCAAGTAGCAGGCAAATCTGCTGGGTACTGCTTGACAGGGGTGATATACTATGGTACAGCACACTTTACAGCTAGATATGTGGACAGAACAGGGACCGTGTGGTTCAACGACGGATACATCAATGGTAGAACTTCTAATAAAGAAGGCGATATCACAGACTTGGATATGAAAATGTCTACCGATGGGAGAAAACCTGTACTGGCTGTATACAGGTGGACTTGAGCACAGGGTATTACACGTCTGATAAGTTATGATGGATCAAGAAGGGCGCAGGTAAGGAAAATATTCTAACTATGGACCTTGTCTCTCTTCTCATATCATGTAACATATTATGGATAAATAAAGCAGACGGAGAGCATAGGACTCGGATCCTGCCACTCGGATGTGATGGCCATCAAATGCTAGTTCCTACCGAAAGGCCGCTAACTAACCAGAATATGCATTGAACTATTACGTCGATGGTGGCTTTGTTCTCTAACCTTACGTCAACGGTTTCGTTTTGCCGCAGAGATGATAATCTACTATCCCGCTGTCGACCTTCAAGTTATCCATCGGATGCACTAACCATCAGAATGGCGCATGGAGTCCCACGTATCTGGGATGGCGAACTGAGAGGGATGGTACTCCACCGCAAGCCAAATAGAGAAGAGTTGGGATCCTTCACGCTGGTGTCATGTGTGAGGTGCGGCAGCGGTCAGGACAATGTTCGCTTAGGCTACCTTGCATGTATCACGGTAGAATAAGTGCTAGGCTTGTCAAGGATGATTTTACTTCAACAAGCATAACTCTCGCGGTAGGCCAAAACCTAGCCTTCTACACCGAATACCAAACGCGATCATAAATATGAACTCCACCAACAACCGAAGTCTGAGAATATGACTGATTCAGAAGGTTGGTGAGTCCGACATACGTCGTTTCCTTCTTCCAGTCGTCCGACATCAGAACACGAACAAGTATCTCGGTGAAGATCCCACCATACCCCTCCTGTCCTTCCGTCTCCTTCGCAATCTGGTAATCTCGACACGCCGTCAGATATACATGAGATTCCACATTTGGCCGCCAATCCTTTGTTAGCACAGATTGATAGCCAGGAAGATGTCCCAGTCTTTCATTCGCCGCATGGAACATATCGTTGACGTCGGAATGGGAAGTGGAGTGGAGACTGCGCATTCCTGTGTCTGGGTGGCGGCAAAAAACGCGGGCATAACAGCAGTCCGCGATGAACGTGATGTTATGCCCTTTGACGCGGGATATTTGTGTGAAGAGGGCGTCGAGCTCTCGGTTGCTGATGTTGGGTACGTAACGTCCTCTGGCGTCTAAGGTGTCACGATCGAGGGGGCAGAGAGCTAGGACTTGGTGTCACATTTCCGAAAGTGGTCCGCACAGTAGTAGCTGGCGCCATGCCCGGCGAAGTAGATGAGAATATTATCCCCCGGATCAACTTCAGGCTTGTTAATAAGATCGTATAGCACCTTTACGATGTTTTCGCGAGAGGGAGTCAGGGGATTGCCAGGGATGGGGCTGAGGAGACACTGAATACGCTCTTCTGGTACATGGAGATTTGTGGTTAAGAAGCTTTTCACTGATAATGCGTCTGATACGCAACCACGCAAGGGAGTGCGGTCGTAAGCATCGATCCCGATGAGAATAGCCCAAAATCGGGATCCATGGACACCATATCGGGTTAAGGGAGAAAACCTATGCATATGAGGGGCGGAGAGACGAAGACAATGAAGCTTATCCAAGCCCTCCACATCGTCACTTTTTAGTGTCTCGCTCCCGTCGATGGTGCTGTCAAAACGCTCCCATAGACCCTCGGTCTGCATCCGACGCCTTTTTGCTTCGTCGAAGACCTCCGCAGAGTCGATACTGCCGTCACGATTGACCAGCCCGTATTCTTGTGCAAGTCGGGCTTCCACCACCTCCAAGCGACGTATTTCCTCCAGGAGGTCGTGATCTACAAGTTCCTCCTACACAGCAGAACTGATCAGAGGGGTCAGAGGGTCCACAAAACTGAATCGTACCGGAGAATAGCTGGTTTCTGTGGACATTTGTTGTGTGTAAGGTGGTAGCTGAAAGGCAAGACAGAGCGACCAATGATGCCACCTCCGGTTTATATGAGATAATGACACAACCCAATATCTGAAGCGCCTGCATTTTCGACATGCGATTTGAACGGAAGTAATATTGAAGATACTGACAATAGTGTGGCGGAAAACCTTTCAGAACCTCGCTGCGTCAAGTTTGAGGAAACAGGGACCTCGAAACAACTGGTCTACGCCAGAAAGAACGGGCGAAGTACAGGGTAGGCTGAACATCTTCGAAATCGCCGCTCCAGCCACAGCAATACCAGAGTCAGAGCTCTCGTCGAATTCCTTCTGAAGTTTTGTTTGTGTGCTTGTAGTAATTCGCAGGTCGCGGTATCCCAGGAAATTTTGCAGGAATACGGGAAGTAGACGGAACACGTTTCCGCATTCCAGCCGCTCGGCGTTAGAACACCAACGAGGGTCTTCGTAGAAACCCCGCCGTATCCCTCTTTTCCCAACGTATATTGATAATCCATATCTAGTATCAATTCTTCCCCAACACAGACTGATAGCGAGGGAAACGTCCCGGGCTTTCATCCGCAGCGCGTTGACATTGCAACGAAGAGTTACACGCGTGGAGCGTAGCCCTGTTTCCGTATTGCCACTGGCGTAGTCTGCGATGAACGGAATTCAGTGCCCTTTGACGCGAGATATCTCTGAAGAGGGCGTTGAGCTCTTGGTCGCTGAGGTCGTATATTGGGTGACAATGGTATCGCGATCGATGCGACGGACATCACTGCGCTTGCACTTGGATTCTAGTACAGTGGAAATGCTCAGGACGGTGGTAGCTCGGGTCGCGCCCGGCGTAGTAGATGACGATGTTGTCGCCTCGCTCAATTTGACGGTTGTTAATGAGACTGCAGAGCATGTTGATGATGTTGGCACGGGAAGGAGCTGACGGATCGTCATGGAAGGGATTCGAGCGCCGAGGAGACGTCGCGCTAGGTTCTGTGCCGTGCGGATACGATGTTTGGGTACGCCGATGGGGTTTGCATGCGTTAGGACGAGTTCTTCTTCGAGACAGGTCTGGGTTCAGGTACTATGGGCCGTATTTCAGAGGTCCTAGCAGCCGTAGCTTGGGGAAAGATTGCTGTCTTCGATCGGGGGTTTTTCGTTGATGATGCGATTCGACTCGTATGCATCGATGCCACTGAGAACGTCCCAAAAGCGAGATGCGTCAACCTGGTTTCGGTCTATGAACGTCGGGATGAGCGAGGGTCGATGGTTAGGGAAATATGCTTACGCCGAGGGTCAGAGTAGGTGGAACAGATGGCAGCCGGCGAGGATTCGACGCGTCTTTGCGGCGGAGTTACTGCCCGACGATGATGTGTTGACCCTTCGAAGGATAGTCGCGACGGCGCTACGGAACCGTCCCCGTAGAGATTTGGCGTGCCCCAGGCTTCTTGCAGAGTCGACGCTTTGAGACGAGGACATCCCGAACTTCGGTGCGGGCCGTTTCTCGACTTCCATTAAAGGACCTGTTTTCCACCGCGAAGCTCGGGATCTACGAGTAGTGCCTATGCAATAGATTTGATGAGTGGGTCACGGTATACGGAAAGCACACTCGTACCGGAGCATAGCTGGCATAAGGGTGCGTTTCGAATTCCTTCTTACTACGGTTCCAAAGAACGGCAACATAGTGAGATAACCAAAGTTGCATGGACCCGGCTATTCCAGATTCCAGAGGAGAGGACTGATAATAGGTGCAGGCGGTCTAGACGATATCTGATTCATGAGTCCTCGCCAGACCTTGTGCTGGGCATTTGTATGGATCTGGTCAGGTCAACGCCGCAGGCAAGAGTAATAAAGGAGCGCACAGGCTAGCAAACAGCTGGTCTGTGTATATGTATCCTTTCTCCCTTCTTCTACTTCTTCTGCTTATTGATCGCGAGATTAAGTGAGTCGCTTCTTGCTAGCATATAGGTCATCTTCCTTCCAGGTACACAGAATATTGATAGTACCAGTAGAAATACTAAAGGTTTAGGCCAGTGAATGTGGTAGGAATAGATGTCTCTGCCCAAATCATCTCTGTAAACAGCTTGAATTATTATTAGTTATCCTGCAATGAAAGCATAGAATATTTACAGATGGACCAAGATACCACAAAACGCGTGCTTCAGTCGATAAGCAGCCCAATAGAGACCACAACACGCGCCGTATGCCGATGTAATCCAGGATTTTCCCATCGGTTATCGGTGACCGGCGCTTCGACGTAGACATGAAGAGGACAGAAAGTTGGGTCGCATTTGACTCGGTAGTGGTGTTGGTCCGGGTCAAAGAGTCCAGACATAGTTCAGACCATCCGCGTGGTGGCTGTGCACTTGTAAACTCGTCACAGTCACACACTCGTAGTCTCTGCCCTGACACTGACCCCCGCCAATCCCTCTCAATGCTAATACCAAGGCAACGACAACTGTCGTGGCTATTTACCACCACTACCAATTCGATTTCATACTCGTCGTTGCGTCACCGCGGCACCACTCCACCAATTTATCGGCGCTAATCAATGGTACACTGCCCAGGATCCCGTAACTTTGAATCTGCCTAAGGATCAAAGATCAACGTTAACGTCAACGCCGATCTCTGTCTACAGCAAGACTGAAGTTCAACAATTTGGAACCTCGATGCCGAGGAGGATGAAGACCAACGGAAGGCCGTGCTAGGGTGCTCGAAGTCAGTGCATGGAGGGTAGGGCGGAAGTAGGTTCACGGCAGTCAATGATGTTGAACGACGACAGTAACTGCCAGGAGCAATACCCAAAGGCACATCAAAATCATTGTAGCCATGCGACCGCTGCTACTCCCTTTTTCGGTGTTGGTACAGGGATCACTGGCTGGCAGTACGTCTCTCTATGACGCCAAGCTCTCTTCATACTCAATCACCTTGTTTTCAGCGAAAATTGAAAGTTCTTTGGGCGCTTCATGGACGGATTGAGCATTCCCGGGAGCGGACAGCTTTCAGTAAGGTTTACAGTCTCTCACCATGACATTCGTTTAACAACGTCTAGTCTGTCCCGGCTAGCGCACTCAAAGATGCCACATTGCGTCGACATCGAACATCCCAAGGCTGCCAGTGCTTCCCCGCCCAGTTGTGTCACGGTCGCAGCCCACCAACTTGTGCGACATGGCCTGTCGCACTGGATAAAATGAAGTTTGCCAATCGGCTGCATACCCAGGAAGGATGGACTTTTGATCAATGAAGGAGGGGGGATGAATGACTGACGGCCTGCAGTGGTACCACCTCTCGCTCGAAGAGTAGACCGGATCCGACGGTGTCAAAACGCGTCGAAACCTCGTCAGCCCAGCTCCTGTTGTCACACAGCGACGCATCCTCACAGATCTCCTCCTCCTGTTAGCCTTGTCAACCCCCCCGACTTTCAGAAACCAATCTCTGTGGTGACGATGATTGTCTTTCCTCGATCACCACATCGGATATGGCCGAACGGGATCATGTTCCTTTCCTTCCTCACATTCACCATCCGATATCAACTTGTGGTCCATTGGTATCTGTCGTCGTGAGAGACAAAGTATGTGAGACGTCTCCAATTTATTCTAAAAATCTACCTTCTTGCTAATGCCTCGTTGATTGGGACAGTCTTGATATCGTATATTGGGAGCATGATCTGACGTGATGAAAGAGAGAAGGATCGAGTTGCAGTCGAACTCGCCAAGCGGATCATTCGTACGTCCTGACCCGCTCTTCTTTCTTCTCTACGTTGACCTGATGTATCTTCTATAGGTACTCGGCGCTGATACAAGGATCTCTAAGGACGATACTTCATTGCTGCGCATTCTACTTCCGATGATCCTCTGGATTTCTGCCTCGTATGCTCTCCGACCTTGTGCAATCACTGTACAAATGCCATTCCACCTTCTGTGCGCTTTGTTCCAAATCGGCGTACGACAGGACACCATTGGATTCTACACCCCGAAGATGTCCAGAATGAATACGGAGAAGCTTCAATGAAGGTTCGTTCTCGTTCCACATATTCAAGCGAGTACTATATTCACAGCTATTTTCTCAGCTCTGGAAGCGCACAACTTTGATAGTCGTTATCCTTGCACAAAGTTAATGGTGATAATGCGCAGATACGCTCGTCCTCTGTTCGATGCTGATTTTTTTCTCGTTGATCTGTTGTGGTCGGTTCTACTATCTCGTCCTCTTGCTATGTCTAACGAGATAGCATTTGCAGACGAAAGAAATAAATTCAGCCGTAAATTGACTTGACACGAAGCGACAAATCAGCACGCTATGACATCCCCCTCACAACTCGGAGCGTCGAGGCCACTCCTGCCTTCTCGATAAAGTGCATCATCCATGAACCAAGCAATGCGATAAGCGGGCGTGGTAATGGCCTCGCGACTCATAGAGCAGGCTGGTGGAGTACCAAAAAAATGGCCACGGAAGGTTGAAGACCGCAGTGCCTATCCCGGAAGTGGTCCTTTTGTCCAACCTGGGAGCGAGCTAGACGACCTCCCTCTGCCGGAGAAATGCAGGCTTGACACGGACAGTTTAGCGATCCTTGCAGAGGGTTACGCAGAGCCACCTTGGGAGGCTGTTACTCCGCCCCGGCATCCGGTTGTTATAGTCTTCCTGTGACACCGTGCCAAGGCCTACCTTTGCGAAGCAAACGTCCTTTTTTGTCAATGCCAAAGTCTTCTTTCATGCGTATCTGAGTGTTTGGCACCGGAATTACGAATGGAGAATGTATTCGTAGGCGGGATCGTTTCCTTGGGGCGATTGTCATCAAGACCGATAATGGGTTCGAACGTTCGAACGTTGTAGGCACCGGACCCAATTTCGACCGCACAGCGTGGTCACTACATGCGGGAGTTCTAGGGATTTTCTTCCTTTGCTCATCTTTCAGATGGTCAAAAAATGGCGCAGCCGTGAGTTGTGTCCCTATCCGTCTCTGATAACAAAACTAATAAATGACCTTTCTTGCTTACCAGATGATCCAGAAATCTTCGCTTCAATCGTTCAATCGTTCTCCGTACCAGTGCTGTCGTTTTTGGAAGGGTGACGTATATGCAAAAGAAACATCCGGGATCAAAATTGGAGCCATAATGACGGCGAGACGATGGCGGTTCTGTCCGCAGCAATGATTGAGAGTGCACCTTTGATCCTTGTTGGCTGAGGCCAAATAAGGTACGTGTTATTTCGTTAAATCTGTCCTAGTTTCTCATTCCTCCTGAAGTCTACGATTACGTACCTGTCAGTAGCGACAATGCTCTGGCTAGTCGAGCTCGACCCTACTCCCTATGGACAAGATGCCACACACGGTGAACCAGTGGAAACTAAAACCACTGCAGATAGAGCGCGCTCGTTGGGGACCAATAATCAGTGTCCGAACCTACTGGCTCCTCCATACACAGGTTTCGATGAGACCGTCAAATACTTGTTCGAGGGATCTTCAGTGATTGCCGACTTTCAGCGCCAGAGGAAAAGGTAGACGGTTCCAGCAGTGTCACCGCGAGCAAGCCCATATACACACTCGGGCAGCCGAATGTCTCCAAGATAGCTTGTGTGTGGCTTCGGGGAACGAAAGGAAGAAATGGAAGGTAGGTCGTCGGGCCTGAGCTACAGAAAATATCTCCATTGACGCGAGAGCTTGTAGGAATGAAAAAGATGGACGTCGGCATTGCCAGCTCCGGCAGATTTCGGCATTTGATGACATCATGTTTTCGCGTTCTTGATAACAATTTTTTTGCATCGTCCTTGCCGTTCGCTCGGATCCGGAGTACATCGTATCATATCTCTTTCACATTTTGCAGCATCGCTCTGTAACTCAAACACGTTGTCGTATGAAGAGTACTTACGTCGCTTTCAGCCGATGAGATTGCGTATTTTAACGATTTTCAATTTCCTTACTGGCGCCCCTGGTATTCTCTTACCGATGGCGCTGTTTTTGGTCGGGCACATCCAAAACTCGCCAATCATTCCGATTGTAGTTCTCTGCACTCGCAAAAAGGTGGGTACCTCACGGTCTATATTCATGTACACTCATTCAGCTACTGCCATTATAGCGCTCGTTTCGTTCTCGAACATAGAAAACTGCATTGTGTATGGTGCGCCATGCAGTCGACTCCATGCATCATGCGTTGGACAGCATTGGCCATCAGGGTGACGTACAAGAAGCGAGAGTCGCTTGGATTACGGTGACGAGAAATGTTTGGGGTATGAATAAGATTGTAGGCCTGATGGGGGAGAGGTGCTTCGATGGTCGAGAAGCCTCGCTTAGCGCCCAATGGGTAGCATGCCCTTGCTATTCGATAACATGACTGGTTGTGGTTCGTCCTCGCTCATTACCCCCGTCGAAGGAGGGCCACTCATTTAGTTCTGAGCAGAAATGGTCTCGTAGCGACTTCACTCGCGATGAAGCTGACATCCGCAAAATAAACTTGGGCTGCGCTTCGATGGTTATCAGATGCTCTGATATGATGAAAAGGGTCAGCTAGTAGTTTCGTTTTACTGTAATGATATTCATCTTTTTTACACAGCTTCCGAGGTCAAGGAGCAACACATATACATACCGGCTGTCTGCGGAATATCAGTTCTCCCTCATATGTTTGAGTCACCTGTAAGGAGACAAGACTCAGGAAACCTGACGAATGTCTATTATTATATGATGTGAGAAGGTATGTGCATCCATGCTTTCAGTTCACAGCTCGTTGATCGGGAGCTGAAATGACCTTGTTGCTGCAGAAAATTCTTCGATCTCGCTGTCGTAAATGGTATAAGTGTCATGTTTCGGTCGGCGGGCATGGAACGTCCTCACACCTTCATGGACGGATATCGAAAAATTCGGATGAATCGCAGCGTCCTGATAATATTGGGAATGTCAGAAGGGAAACTGCAGGTCCACGAATAGGGTTTGCAAGCTCGTGGCATGAGCGTCTATGGAAGCAAAATCTGACATGTGGACTCGGTTACAGTATGCTGTTAAGACGGGACGGGTGGTTCTGATGAATACACAAAGATACCATTTCAATTGGGGCGTACTGGTTTCAACACGCTCCCTTGGTGGTGTGGGACTAGATCGACACAAGATTACGACCGTGCCCAAGTTGTACCATGTCGTGCAATGATCATGATCAGTCTAAGCGCCCGCCTCAGATGAGTCCAATATCCAGGTCTTGCTTGCATTTTGTTGTACAATACATCCATGGGGCTGGACGTTATGTTTTTTGCAGCCTTGAAAGCATTGCACCTATATCCATTGACCCATTACTGAAAGATTCTCTCTGACGTTGTCTAAGTTTTGCCGATCATCTATCAAAACGCCGCAGCAAGCCATAAGGCACCTTCTCATGCAGCGCTCATATAGGCGCCAAAATCAAACCCAAACCCTCCCCTTGATGGCATATCGAAGGCTGGCCAAATCCTTTATCTAACCAGACCTCAATGAGTCGACTCTCTTCCCAGTCCAATGCCTCTCTTCAATCTCTTCAAAGGGAAACCGGCTGTCGAGAAGACCACGACATCGTTCCTTCAAGAACGAGACCAGGCTGGTATTCTAGTCACCGCCGAACTAGAGAAGGCACTAGCCGATTGCAAGGCAAAAGTTGAACGTATTGCAAGGGAATGCAAGGCGAAGAATCGAAAGTTCAGGTTTGTTATCAATTGTTCTTCGCAGTCTAGTCCCCTCAATTTTTTACAGGGATCACGAATTTGATCTGCAGAATGACAGATTCCGGTGCCTTCACGGACTTGCGAGCGAGGAAAGATACAACCCCTCTGATGTACTCCGCGTAACGCAGATCTTCAGCAATCCTCAGTTTTTCGTGGATGGCGCATCTTCCAATGATATAGCTCAGGGAAAGATTGGTGATTGCTGGTTTGTTTCCGCATTGGCGACGATGTGCACGTCCCCAGGATTAGTAGAAAAATTCTGTGTTGCGGTACGTCTGCCTTTTGAGCCTTGACAGAGTTGGTATGGATCTCATTTGTGTATCCAGAGAGACGAAAAGGTTGGGGTATACGGATTCATCTTCTTCCGCGACAATAAATGGGTCGATGTGGTCATCGATGAGTAAGTTTCTCCCTACTCATATTGCAGTGTTCTCAGTCTGTGTAGCCTGCTTTATACGTCCGTTCCAAAATTTGAAGAACTGAGCCGCGACGAAAAGGAACTATACCACAACGACAAGGCGCTCTACAACAGATCTTCACGCAAGGGGAGCGCTACCCTTTATTTCGCCAGGTCCGGTACTGATGGAGAGACCTGGGTTGCCGTTGATCGAGAAGGCATACGCAAAACTCCATGGAAGTTATAGCGCCTTGAGCGGTGGGTTGGCCTGCGAGGCCGTTGAAGACCTCACGGGGTACGTTCCATGACTCGTTTACCTCAACCAACATGAGTTAACTTAGGCGCAGCGGTGTAACGTGTTTCATTCCCTCAAATGTGCAGCTGATCCTTTTCTCTGTATGGCAGTAGCTAACACTATCTCCAGGACATCCTTGATCCAGATCTATTTTGGACAGAAGAGCTGCTCAAGGCCAATCACGAGCGTCTCTTTGGAGTCTCATTCAGTGAACTTGACTCTACTCGTAGCGGGAGGCCTAATATCACAGTCAGCGGTTTGATGGGCGGACACGCCTACTCCGTTCTCAGAGCAGTTGAATGCAAAGGCAAACGTTTCGTTGTCGTCAGAAATCCTTGGGGCTTTTCTGAATGGACTGGTCCATGGTCAGACGGCTCGAAACAATGGACACCGGAATGGCTTGAGATACTTCCCCAACTTGGACATTCCTTCGGAGACGACGGTCAATTTGTTATGGAGTGTGCGTTCTCTGTTCGTTTTACTTCCTTAGGTTTCACTCATCCTCGCGGCCTTGCAGATACGGACTTCTTGGAATGCTGGCAGGAGATCGACATGACCATTTTGTTTGATTCGCAGTGGGTCATGTCCTCTCAGTGGCTTCATGTAACAGCGCTTCCGCTTCCATCAGCCTGGACGTACGGGGATGTATCATGTACGTTCTATTCGCAAATTTGTTATATCGTGCTGCGCTGAGTCGCTGCTACAGTTACTATCACGTTACCGGCTGCTACCAAGGCGATAATTGTCCTGTCCCAGTTAGACAACCGTTACTTCGAGCCTATATCGGGATGCTGGTACTGGACCTTTGATTTTGTGGTGTTCAAAAAGGGAGATAAAGATGTTATTGCGCAATCTTCAGCATCTAGGATCCTTGCACGGAGCGTAAATGTTGAACTGGACTTGGAGGCGGGCTCGTATGTTGTGCATGTACGTACTAATTCTTCTAGGCGGAACGCCATTCTGATTGGACTCAGGTTCGTCTGGACCGTTCCATATATCGGTCATCGGTAAGAGAAACATATCTTGTTGCAATGTTTACTTATGAAAGAATGACTGGTAGATATTTCCAGAAGACGTCCCTATTTCGAATCACCGTTCTCTTTCGAGGGTGCTCACTGAGCGCGCCAAGAGTCAATCCATTGCTATGAGTGGGTCACTAAAATGATACCTGTCTCATGTATCTCACTGTTCGTTTTGTCCTCGTAGATTTCAATACAAGGTATTATTTTCACCTTCCACGTTATTCGACGGCTCATGAACATCGGTACTAGCTCGCAGGCTCAGAATTTGCCCATTCCTTTGGACATTCTGGCTGGACAGGACTTGTCCGAATTAGAGCAGAAAGCATTAGCAATCAGGAAAGCGGAGGAAGGAAGAGAAAGCTGCTGCGGAAATGAAGGTCGCCGAAGAAAAGATGGCCGAGGAAGAAGCCAGAAGGAAGATTGGGATTTTACCAAAAGAAATCACTGACAAGAAAGACACATCGGATAGCGCTAGCCTCGAAGAGGAAAAGACGGCCGAGAAAATTCATGAAGACAAAGACGAGCACGAAGGCGAGAAGAAAGCAAACGAGAATGGTGTCGTCGAGGCGGCGGAAGCCTTCCCCACAGATAACAAACAAAGGGCCGATATTGACAGGACTGATGCTGTCTCCCAACGCTCCGATGACGATGACGATAGCGTTGATGAAAACACAAAAATTGCCGCCAGAGACATCCAACACATGTCTGACACCGACTCGATTTTCCTCGGCCTTCGAGTTTACACGTCCAAGGATGCCCCCGCCGAAATTTGCGGCCAGCTAAGGCATGAGATGGAGCTGTCTGCATCTCTAGCTTTATAAATTTGTCTGCATTACTAATTCCATCCATCCATGTACTTCAGTACCATATCAATACCAGAATGTCTCTCCATCACCAGTCTTGAGGTTATCTTAAGCTATCAACGAGTTTTCTAAGGACGGGAGGCCCGAGAGTAAGCTGGATTCTCTCCGCACCCTTTGAGGGTTTGGAGTCGGCATTAAAGAACTGTCGTCTACATATAAAACTCGTCGAGCTGGTGGCAAAAGCGTCTGTTCGTCCGGGCCGAATTCTTTAAATCTCGGCGCACAAGTCAGGTATGGCCCACGATGCTATTGATGTTGTAGATACTTGGGAAAAGGAGGCGACGAAGGAGTCTTCCCGAACGTGTGTTGTGACGGATTTTACTCTCAATCCAAATGTTGACAATTTTTCGTTGTGAGAGAATTTGGAAGTTTAATTACCGGCCAGAAAGGAGGTAGTTTTTATGTGCACCAAACGTTCGAAGGCCGTAGGTAATGTAGGGAAGTACTCGGCGTCTCGCAATCTCGATAACTCACCAAAGATGTCGCAAACGCGCAGCAATATGTCATCTATAAGTGTAGCTATATCTTACGCTGTGAAAACGGGCTGGACGTCGCTGAGGTTATTGTGGTCGAAAGGAGAAAATCAACGGGTACGACAACAAGTGCAAACAGACGCGTCACGTCGGTGGCGCTGCTTTGTTAAAAACCGCCAACAACCCTACTCTTCAAGTTGTGGCATCGAAATTTATTGTGCAATTGCTATTTCTTCCGATTTCAAGCATTACGCTATCCTCGAATTGGGTCCGAGTCATCTATGTGATTCTACTACACTCGTTCTATCTAGCACCGAAGTTGGTTTTCAATAAAGCCTTCCCAGCTTCTCTGTGGTACCGCGCAGTCCTTATTCCAGAAACCGCACCGCAGAATTGGGTGTTGATGCTGGTACCATGACTCCCCGACCTTGGAATAATTTTAGCGAGGATCAGTCTTTCTCGTTGAGGCCTTATTCGTGTTTGATATCGTAACTCCTCTGCGTTAACATAAATTTTATAGTAGACAACTGACAATGACGCGTCGCAAAATTTGATCTTCTTCCAAATTCATATTCGACGCCGATCTGCGTAGACTGCTAGATATGGATTTTTCCGTCCCAAACCCTCGTCTAAACAAAGGCCCTTCCAACCGACTGCCTCGAAACTGGAGCAACAGCTTCGGTGAAATCTACATCATAATGTACCATGATCAATCGGACGAAACTGTCATCAGGATCGACAACCGGTATTTCATAATTCATATACGGCTTCGAAACGGAGGTGCTCCTGGGATTCATTGATACGTACCCGACGTTGGATACCTTTTTGGACCTGGCGAGGCAAAGGGGGAATCGCTTTCTCAAGCTTATACACTGACCGCTTTCGTGGAAATGGAAGGACATGTGACAACAGATAATTACTACGATGAGGTTGAAAGATGGGATGAACAGGTGGAGGAGGCTAAAGCGGCGCGCCTCAATAAATTCTCGCCTTCATTATGTTACCTGTAATTGATTTTTATGATTTAAATGAAGTGTAGCAGGAGGTAGAAACCCTCTTATTCTAAGACAGACAAATATCAGCTATAGAACGGAGTACGAACATGGGCAAAACAGAAGAGTGATCCATTGATGGTAGAGGCCATCCCTATTAACATAGTCGCCAGGGAACAGGCACACAGGCATATATCGTCGAATTTTCTCAGCGGGAAAAATGTAAGAAACGGGAGAGCGAATCACCCGGAAGGTTCAGAACTTGGAACGCGCAGGCGTCCCCGTGGCTTCAGGGATTAAATTTGTATCATTGTTCGTGCGAACACAAAGTAAAATAATTCCGTAGATAAACTGTCACCAGAAACAGGATCCCTTGGAGTGATTTTATAAGGAAATATTCAAGTTTAATTGCCCATTCAAACCGCATAAGTGTAGCACAAGAACCCATCTTCCGTGCTCAACACGTCGGCAACCTATATTGCAGTCAGAAGGATTAACAGAAGTGACGCTATTATACAAGTACAGCACATACCGTTGCATTAGGAAGAATGTCGAACATATACAACACAGTAGCTCCGGTGGTCTCCTGATATGTCGTTTAGTACGTCTTGTCACAGAAGCACGGTAGCACGTACAACATAACCGGTGGCAGGCTCTTTCTCCGACTCATACCCGATGTTGTTCAAATCATTGATGCGAGTCTCATTGTCGCCCTGCCACTTCCACCAAAGCTGCAGCAGATACATGACTCGAAGATCAGTCCACAAAGAACGCGAGAAAGAAATTGAACTGAACGCACATAATCCACAAATCCGTGGTGCACCCAGAACATTGGATCGTTAGGCGAAGTTGCAGCATTGACCATCTGACAAAGGATTAAAATATAAGACGGCATCATCGTATATGAAAAATCACGCACATCCCCTCCGACACCAGCATGCCCTGAGGCATGGATCCCGACATCTGTGGCTGCAACGCCCAAAGTGGTTTTGAAATCCGCAAACGTATCAAGGGCAAGCAGAGCATCAACGTATGTTTGTCCGACTCTGATTGAGGCCGTCTCGTCCACTTCGCGTGCAAGGAGATGCGAGGTACCCGCCGTCGCATTCAGGGTCCGTGTGAGGTTAGCGAAAGGTCCGTCATTGACGGCCCAGTCATTTTCCTCACTACCATTCCCTCCAAAGTCTAGTAACACGGGAGAGGTGGAAAATGCACCGGCGTCGACAGATTCATTCCAATACGGCAACTGAAATCCAGGAAGATGTTATTTTACTGACAAGGGTAAAACATAGACGGACGTACAGCACCAGTGTATCCGCATTCGTTGCGGAGGAGTGTTTCGTGGATGTAGATGTAATAACGGTGGACCTAGAATATGAGTTTAGACCATAGATCCCGAACTTGAGAATGAAAATGATTTCATACATGTAAGAACCTAGACAAGAGAGCCTAGGTAAGCGTAGAATATGACGATGAATAAGGACTACTGACTGTCCAGTTACATGCCAGAAATCATTGTTGTTCGTGAAATCGCTTTGCTGTGCATGCGTACCAACCTATGAAATAGACATACACGAAACCGATTATAGAGTGATATTATGTACGGAAACTGACCAAGTCATCGTAGCGCGACACAACATATGGAATGTCGGTTCGAGCAGGCGCATTAAGGAGACAGAGTTCCGCTGCGAAGTATGCTGCCTTCTCGGCTTCGGTCAACGTATTCCTACGAGGGGTGTTAGAAATGGTATACCGTACATCGATGATGTGAGATAAATAGTTACCATTCCACACGAATAGTTCAGTGTGCAGGTCGACCGTCGACTTGCGCCGGGTGCTGCTAATGCGCGAGGCAGCTGAACAGCAGCCAGGATCAAGATAGATAGTTTGGACAAGATGGAGTGCATGGTAGCTTAAAGAGATGATAACCAAGAAGGAATCCAGAAAGGTAGACAGAACTCGACCTGTGAAAAGTTCATTTCAGTAAGATGGCCTTTATATTCGCCTCTGTGGAGGATCAATATAATCCCGACAGACTAGCGAAGGAGTCAGCAGTAAGGCATCATCAGGAACTTAAAAATTTGCTTGGCTAGCGAGCCGCGAGGGTCACACAAAGTGCACGCAAAAGTGTCGCAAACCCGTAGTTTCCGCATGTGTTGAACCTGAAAGTAGAAATCAGAGAGTTGTGATCATCAGTTCTCCCTTTCACAAGGGCCCCGAATATCGACCGATGTTTTTTCCAAAATTTCTGCTTTTGGAACCGCTCCGAGCACTGAATCCATAGCTTTCTGAAGTTTTCGAGCAGAAGCAAATTAAATGACGAGCCTGGACAAGTTACAACTCTCCCTCCCTCGCACAGAATCCTCATCGGAGTCGTTCGTCTCCATCTCAGTCCTAAGCAATTGAACTCAATTCGAAGGGGAAGAGGAGGGACGGCCGTTGACTCGCTGGAATACAGTTGAACACCAAGAATCTTATCTTCATCTTATCTGCATGCCTCGGACAATCCGGCTCGGCGGCAATAGCTCGCCCTGGTAGCCCTATCAGATCATCTAGAAGGCGGCTGAACGGCTGAGTGCCGAGGCCTGAGTGGGATTGTTTATTGCAAGTATGTCAGTCCAATCTCGCGACGCCTCAATAGAGTGACTTTTACAGCAGAATCCTCCCACATATTGATATTATCATTTCACTCTCTTGTATAGTATAATACAATACTACACACATAATCATTGACACAAAGAGCCGATTTAGCGAAGAAGGCACGTCATTATCCGAAATGCAGCTCAGTGCGAACGAAATGCGGAATACCGAAGTTGCAAGTAAAACCCTGAGCTCCTTCCAAGAACTCGAAGACACAACTTTTTTCGCTGTTTATCACCAAGCCCTCGAAAACCTTAGGATCCATCGGCTTGTATCCAAGGATCACTTCCTTAAGCGCCTCTTCCTTCTCGCGGTAACAAGCGTTAATGTCAAATCGTTCTTGCTCCGTTCTATACAGACTCGGTATCACGCCGCTCAAATCGAGATTTTTCAGGTACGGGAGAGACGGTATCTGGTCAAGGACGGGAACCTTAAAAATAAGAGTGAGCTTCGTTCATTGAAATAATTTAAATAAAAAAAAACATACGATCATATCTGTTTCTCCGCCGACGTGGCTCGTAAACACAGTCAACCCGACGAGCTTCGGACATGCTGCAACCAGCAGCTCGAGATGTCCTGGAGAGGTAATAGACCAGCTACATTCCATAGGAGCCGTCAAATGAAGGTACTTCATCGTACTCCCGTGCTTCTTCAAAAACTTCTCGTAAAATTCGTTACCCTGGCTCTCTCCCATCTCGCGTTCCTCCGCCGAGTTTGAGAAAGCGACACAGATCTGGATGAACTCTAATTTCTCTAGCGCCCACAGAAAGTCCCATAGTTCCGGTGAAAGGCAGGCATGGGGAGTGAGACGAGGGTCAGGCTTGACACTAAATTGGCGGATCGTGCGGTGCGCTCCTTCCTTCATGAAACATGTCCAGAAACCAGTCGGAGTATCGAGATTGTCATGAATGACGAGGCTACCGAGATGACGGAAGTGGTTCTTGATAGACGGCCAGTCTTCAAGCAGGTCGAAGCCACTCGTATCAAGGTTCTCGATGCCGAGATGATGATCACCAAAACCACCTAAGATATCTCCCACCGACCGTCGGGAGTCAAGATGAACGAGAGCGTCGCCATTCTCCAGTCTCAGGGTCTTGACAGCCGGTGTAGTCTGCAAAAAGGACCGAGTCGAAACGCAGGCAGCATCATCCCATGTTCGGGTTAGCACGACGGCGTGAACATAGGGACGAAGAGAGCATGGTGGTGGGTAGAACTCGTTTTTGGCCCGTAAGATGATGGTTTCGATGTGAGGAAGGGATGAAAGGGATGGGTACAGAGCCTCAAAGAACCACGCAGGCACCTTATGTTCCATCACAATCCTACATTGGCGATTAGTACACGCTGTCACAAAGTAAATAAACGTACGAGATATCCCTCAAGTTCTGTAAGAGTGGAATGAAATATTTCAAGATAGCCCTATCAAGTTCGATGAATGGTCCAAAGTAAGGAAATGATAATGGTGACGTTGATTGCTGTACCGCGATGATTTTGATCTTCTGGACGTGGCGGAAAATATCGCCATTGAATGGATCGAAATATCCGAGATATCCTGGCCTGATGTGAACCATGTCGCCGAAAAAACAATAGGCCATACAAATGGAGGAGAAGACAAGAGATTCCACAGCATGATTGATGAATTTACACGTCGCCCTCATTTTCTTTCGGTCTTTGTTTGGAAGCTAGACGAATGCGATATCAGATGAAAATCCGCCTGTTAGAAGAAGAAAAAAACCACCTCCTTGCCGATGGCATAGTATATTTCTGGGGGAATATTTTTCATTGTGAACGGTTGGGGAAGAAGAAAGGTGGACCGCTGAGCGACGCTGTCAAAGAAGCGCGACGGATTGAAGTTACCGATGCCGGGAGGAAACCTGCCCTAAAGAGCGCTGATCTTAGCCATAATGATTTCCTCCAGAGTCCAAGATGCAACGTTTCAAGCAAGGAACATTAACTTATTTGTATCTCCTAAGATTGAAGATACGACCTTATGGTCGCCTCGATTCGACCCACTCAATCTTATCGACGGCTATATTTGACCACGGTCCACCTGGTCTAACTTTATGCATAGAGGTTACCTAAAGAAATACAGTCAATATTCAGTCAAGTCCCGTGAATATCGCTCGATCGACACTAAAACTGAAGGCACATACGGAGGCCCAAAAGAAAATACTTGTTTCAAGATCTCTAAAACACCAGCATTATTGCGCCCAAGCCATCTGTTCACCATCAGCTGCGATCGATGAAAACGGGAACCGTTGATGTTCAAAGCGAATCTTCAATGTAAGGCTGAAGATACGAGAGACTTTGACTTTCTCAGCCATTACGATGCCAGACAGCTCGTTGTACGCACTTCCTGCGAGGTCAAGGTAGTCGATAACGACACATGCAAAGCTCCACGACAACGTTTAGTCCGCCCATTACAATAATAAAGAGGAGTACTCACTTCGCAGTCATATCGAAACCTGCTTCAAGAAGTGACGCCCCTTCTGCAGCAAGTTCTTCGCGGCTTGCTGGATTTCCTTTGGATGTGAAATCTAGCAAGTTTGTCACAGTAATGAACACAATGCGTACCATAGCGCTCTTCCCGATTTTCGGCTTGCGAAGGTGCCGACAGGCTCCTTCAAATAGCCACGGTGGTCTCTCGCTATGGAGCCAATCCCCTGACTGCTCTGCTTCACGACAGAGTTCGGCCGCCAAAAAAATCCATAGAATTCATATATTGTCCTTGTCCGGTACCGTGCTAACAGCCGTCTCTACATCACCGTAAGGTTTCCTTGTGGTATCTGGTATCTTATACCTATAAGAACACGATAAGGAGGACATTCAATTCGATAGAAATCGTAACGTACAAGGAAAACGATTCACTCAAAGACGCCCGCCGCGACCAATCCAGCCCTCGGTTGCCTCATCGACACCTGATCGCACAGCATTGGCCATCGCCCAGTAGAATAGCGCATCTTTGGATCGAAACATAGTCGCCTGCGCCTGTATTCATACCAATGAACTAAGTACGAAAACGAGGAGAGTGATAATGAACGAACTTACAGTCCATCAGGGCATCAGGATACCAAGTATCCTATCCATGGCATGCTGACATGGAATGCATCAAATCATTCGTTTTTGAAGTATCGGGCAGATATCAGCGACAAGGGCAATCCCATCTTCCAGCCCGTCGTGTTGTATTAAGAGTCGGCTTGGCCACTGAGAACGATGGTATGGGGAGATTCGGAGGTAGCTGCCTAGAGCAGGTCTTCCACCGCACCACGGCAGCCAGCTTCCCGGAGAGCTGCCCAGGTCGTTGGTAAATTTCCTGCATGAACCTATCGAGAGCGGGGGGTGGATCCTGGGTGGGACCATGAGACGAGCAGAGAAGGCCTGGATGCGACTCGAAGTGCGAATCGATCGTGGCCAGGACATAGACAACAGACAATTACCCTTCTAGAGACAATTTAAAGTTCTACTCCATAGTCAAGTCAAACAGATCTGAATTATGTCCTTTAAAGTCTTCCAGGCTCCAGCCTGATACAGTCTGAACAGCCATTTATCCAGTAGTATGTTATAGACAGATGGAGGATACATACATAACGAGAGATGAAGGGACGGTATGCATGTGGTCATTGGACAGCGAGTTTCAGAAGAACTTACTTCCAAAGGGTACTAAGTAGTAAGCGTCAGAAATGGGAACTAGTTGGTGAGGGCCAACGCATCCACGTGGCAGGTCCGAGTCCTATGTTTTCTGTCTCCAAAAAATAAAAGAAAAAGTTAACAATGATACTTAATTGAATTCATGGACTAATAACTACAACAGATTTATACAAAAGTACATCGCGTCAGACTCCTTGCGAAGGACAAAATGGTGATGAAGGTGATAGACATACGGGATCCAGAAGAGCGGAGAGTGCATACTGACATGGTAAACAGGAACGCAATATCATCAACGCTGCATCTATCAAACGAGACGAGGATGCAGGGGTGTGGAGGATCTTGCGTCAAAACGCGAAGGACGGGACTATCGAGGAGATGGTCTTCACGATCACGAGCGCCATATTCGCGACGGATATACCACCTGTAATGAAGGAGACAAGGTAAGTGGACAATTTCATGATAAGAGGGAGGGGGTAGGGAACGTACTCACAATTTACACAGGATGCTGAAGGAAAAGACGATGCCGTGTCCACAATCAAGGAGATACAAGTTATGGGGGAAAGAGAGTTCAGGGAAGGGGAATTAGAGAACTGGAAACCGGATACGGAGACGACGAACCGCTATTTCAGACCCAAAAACAGTTTGAACAAAGAGGAAGGAAACCTATTGCAGCCAACGTCGACCCAGCGGGTGTACTCGCCAAGATAGCGCAGCGGAAGTCGATCCACACCGAAGAAAACATCGTGTGCTACTTCAGAGGAGGGAGGGAAGAAAAGGTCAGCACCGCAGAGCAATCGAGAATGTTAAATCGACAACACCTTTGCGTTACAGATACATGACGGTAAAGCCACAGACATTCCGGGTAGGCGATGTCGTCGAAGCCCGGTGCTCGATGGTATTCATGAGGAGTAACGAAGCAGGGCGAGGATGAAGACGATTCTGAGGGCATTGGCCCTAGTGAACTGCGATCACTCGTCAGTGAGTGATACAGACGAAGGTATCAAGGACAACGTACTGATCAGACTTATCCACAGAAAGCCAATTCGGACAGGAGAAATGCGGAGAGTATGCCGGCTCCAGCTCACGCGGACGAAGAGGAAGATAGGTTTTGAGGAAGACGAAGACGAGGATGAATACGCGGGCGGGCGCTAAAAAGACCAATAGGATGAACGAGGTGGATGACGATGAAGGAACAGTGAGATTCGTGCAGTTATATATGGCATGTGCTTATAGAACGACGCAAAGAGAAATTGACATTAAGAAAGGCAACAAACAGGGGAAACAAACAAAAAAACAACAGAAGCCGCCAGCGACACAAAGAAGCAGCGATGAAACGGAGCTGTCGGGAGAAAGAGGATGAAGCCGGGAGAAAAAGGGTGCACGAATAGAAAACTCCCACGGCCAAAGCCCAAGGGACAGAGCGAGATAGTCGGCAAACGCCGCCATCAATTGATTCCACCAATAGAATTTCCCACGGGTCTTTCCCAACTGCATAATGACCGAGATATCCTATATTCATAGGACTCGGAATCATGAACTACCTGCCCGTGACCAGGCGATTCCAAGGATTGTCTCCAAATCCCATATAACATACTTTCATGTCTATTCTCGACCTTCTGTCGGAAATGTTGAGTCGTCAAGCTGTTTGAAATCGAGGAAGGGAGATGTCGGTCGAAACAAAAGAAGAAATGGGTGCGGTCCGGGACGGTCCGACATTATACGACATTGACTTTCTTTTTCCGTGACTGTTTCGCAATCTTACGTCTTCAAGCTCTCGGGCCCGGCCGTCGTGCCTTTACTTGCCATTTTTCTTTCTTTTAAAACCGTATCCATCAGACCCCTCGTAGTTTCTTTCTTTCTCGGACCGTCGTCTCGCCTTCGATTTCATTCGATTTGAAAGGTCAATCCATTGCATTTGTTTGAAGTACTAACTTTTCCGCTTATTCAATTATTTTAGTTTCTTCCAACGTGTTCCAACGGTCTCAATGCTTGCTTTTCCCAGCGATAATCACGTTTTCCTTTCTCCACAGCCATTCTTTGAATTCTAGGTTGACATTTATCGTGTCGAACCCAATGCATTCTTTGCTTCCTGGGGTAGTACGCCGGAGATTGATTTACCGACATTCCTTCATGGCGCGTCCGAATCATAGCGTCCTCCTAGCTGATGGTATGTTCGTAACGTTTGCATGGCGACCTTTGCACTCGGAAGCAGTACAAATTCCTGGAGTGCTACAATCTTGCCGCTGGACGCACAGCTTCAATGGGTAGAAAGTGGGCACAGGTTTGAACGCGACACATCATGACATGATATGGGGTCTGTGCTCTTTCTTTAACGCAAATTCCAACCGAAAAGACTTCTTTATGATCTTCTCCAATCCGGTTTCTTCCCAATGATACCTCTGGTTCGAATGGGTAAACCCACGACTTGGGGGTCTCCTTATCGGATGTCACCCGCTGACGACGTTAGCCATGGTGCCTTCGCCAAGTACCCCGTTTTGGTATCGGGTTACCCACCCGCTATAAAGTGAAGCCTCCTGACAATCAACGCGACGGTGATGACCTAACTCGGAAGGGTGCCTCCGTTCTGATCAGTAAGCATTATTCATCTGGATCACTTGGCTGACAGATTCCTGATAAGCGAGTGGGTCTCGATTGGAATATCGATAGCAACGGACAGCGAGAAGGCGCATGAATTCGTCATAGGATACCCGATTGCGAGATATCTCCATATTTGGTGTGCGAACCGACGCGCGGGTGAAGCATCGATCATCCTTTATTACACCACAATGACTCGACTCGACTCGACATTATAATGGGACAGTGAAACCGAGGATACATTCCATTATCTGTCTCACCGTTCCACCATGTCATACAAATCTTTCGCTCTCGTTGGCGCCAACGGCGTACTTGGCAAGAACATCTTGAACGCCCTCATCACAGAGAACATCCCTTTCCTTGTCCTTACCCGGAAATCCTCCGACTCTTCGTCCAATCTCCCTGCATCTCCCAACATCAAGGTCGCTAAAGTTGACTACGAGGACAGCGCGGAAGTCTCTGCTGTACTTAAGGAGAACAAGGTCGATGTCCTTATCTCGGCCATCAACACGGCAGCGGGGGGAAAGAGCAAATACGTTCTTGCGGACAGCGCAAAGGCTGCAGGAGTAAAGCTCTTTGTGCCGTCGGAGTTTGGGTCTGTCACCGCCGGTGCATCTGTGAAGGTGTTGAAGGATAAGGATGACTTTGCGAGTGAGTGAGCCTCCTCTTTGCTCGTTAAACACGGTCCTGATTTCAACGATACTAGAATATTTGAAGAAGATTGGACTGCCATCTGCAAGAATTTTCGTGAGTTTATATTTGTATTTTTATTTTTCCATGACAATCACCAACCGCTGAATGTAGACAGGATTATTCTTCATCTACCTTCCTGCGCTTGTTGGATACGTTGTTGATCAGAAGTTCAATATCGTTGGAAAGGGCCAAACGAAGGCATCTTTCTCGGCTCTCGAAGACATTGGTGGTCAGTATATTATTCGTCGCCCTGTTGCACTGACTGGTCATGCAACAGGCTTTGTTGCGTATATCCTGACTCACCTTCCGGCTGAGCAATTGAACGACAAGATATTCCGTCTACAATCGGAGGGTCTGACGTTGGTAGAAGCAGCTGCGAAGGCAGGTCTCCCACCCAATCACGTCGACAAGCTTCCTGGAGACTTGGCGGAGTCATTCTTGGCCGCCCTCCAAGGCTTGATAGAAAGCGGCGAGGGTTCCACGGGGTGGGACTACGAGGCGAACAAGGAAGGCACGGAAGGAGCTGGAAGTGCAAACGCTTTGTGGCCGGGGCATGAGTGGAAGACGGTCACGCCTGCACTCTTTAGCAAATAGTAGCAACCATCTCCCTGTAGTCAGTCTGTAGTCAAAGCAAGAAGTTCATTCCAAACAAAAATATGCGGTCTATTGGGGGAATACAACATCAGTGGCGGTACAGGGTATAATTAGTCCATAAACATAGCAAAAACAGCAGATAGATGACGAATAAATATATCAAAGATTTCGCTTTCCCAAAGCCTCTAATGCTGCATGGGTGCGCATGTGTAAAGCATTCTGTCGCATGGCAATTAGCGTCGAACGCACAAAGTTAGCTAGAATACACTGACCTCCATGCTATATCGTCCCTTTTTGCCAGACGGCCCAACCTCAAGATGTTTACCTACAATCGGTAGTTAGAATCATCAGAAGGAAGCGCAAAGATCGCCGTACCGGAGAGAACGAGATGGAACTGTATTCGGGCCTCGTCTACTTTTCCCTGGCACGCAAGTAATCGGCCCAATTCATAGTCTAATAAAATGTCAGAACAGGGTCAACGGACGAAGAGGATACGTACGGGCATGATACACGATATGATGGTCGAGCTCGATCTTGGGTCCGAATCTAAAGACGTCCTCAAACGCGGACGCTGCGGCTTTTGCTGCATCGCTCTCGGATATACCAGCTAGTTCAACGACGGAAGGCGCATCAGGTGGTATAATGGCGTCCGGGTCCTGTGTAGCTCTCGCTGAGTGGAAGGAATAACGAAAAAGAATAAATACGAACCGGATACGCAATATATCTCATGCAAACGCCCTCCAAGAACTTGGCTAAACAAAAATCATCCCAATAACCCATAGACTTTTTGTCCTTGGTATCTAGTTCCTTCAAACACCCCTGCACCTCAGCAAGCATCTTCTTCGCAACGACTTCTCGAGGAGCATGTGTAATTGCCAAGAAAAGATACGCAATCTCGAGTGCCGGAAGGGCCAGCCGACCCTGCGCCAAAAACTTGCGCGCCTTCCTTGCGACCAGCTTCTCCAAGGGTATACTCTTCCCAGCAATCTTCTGTCTAAGGTTCGGCACCTTTTCCATGAGAGCTTTCGCCTCTTTCGGGTCCCCTCCACCTTCGAGTAGACACACCGCCATCCCATACGTATAAATCGCCTTGGACCACGTCGCCTCCCGCTCCAGGACTCTCCAGCATTCGAGGCTGCCTTTCACATCCCAAAGTGCCAGTTGTGCTATCGCGATCTCCCAAAAAGAGATGTGATGTAGATTCCTGTACTGCGACTGGACCTCCATAGCTCGGGTGTAACACCGTATGGATTCTTCTGGCTGGGACCGCATGAGCGCAAGTCGTCCGGCTCCGAACAGGAAAAAAACACCGTTCGGGTAGCGGCGCGCGTTCCATCGGATAATTTTGTCGGCCATTTGAACATCAACGCCTTCGAATGTGAAGCTCGAGAGAACAAGGTGGAAGACCATGAGCGCCATATCGCAAATGGGTCGTCGGAGTCCTTCTTCAGAAATGGAAACAGATGGCTCGTCGGATGTGGAGGTCCAACCACCCGCTTGGCTGAGAATGGAAAGGGCCTCGGCGCGGTCGCCGTGATATCCGAACAGCTCGATGATGGTGAGCAATTTTGAGGGCATGAGGCTCAGGATAAGGGTACTCATTCCGGCTCCGAGATAGACGCCTGAGCGGAAATGAACATCGATACTCTCATCGTAACCTGAGGAAGCCGCTTCGTCCATGGTTGTTATGAACTTGTATAGTACACGGTATATGTTGATGGTTGTTCGCATATTCAACCTGTAGGACAACGTGTCAATTGAATTCAAAGAAGAGATAGAGGAACGCATGGACAACATCATGGGATGGACTTACGCTTCTTTGATGAACGCTAGCCAATCGCCAGAGTATACGACACCTAATAATGCCTTCTCAAACAGACTCTCTGCATAGACAAGTTCGGCGTGCCGCTCGACCGGAGACATGCTCTTGATAAATCCGACACCGGTGGTATTCAAGGAACTAACAACGTAACCAGCAAGCCTCGACGTGAATGATGCAGCTTTCTTGCGGTGCTGCATCGCGATGAGATTCCCTTGCTTGGTGTGTCCAATGCCTGCGAGGATATCTTCGTCGGCGTACGACATGAATGCTTTTACGCATTGTATAAGACCGTATCCAGTAGAGAAATAAAGTCTTTCCCTGTTAAATGACCTCTGTTAGAGAAATTAAAGTCGCCATAATAACAAACGCACTTTTTTGGGTCACTCTGAAGACAATATTCCTCTGATTCGAACATGTGAGAGTTGAGAAAAAGCTCGAGGGCATGGGCCACGCCTGGAATATCGTCGAGGGCCTCATTAGGATCATATGGAGCCTTGACGTGTGGTGCCATGCTTGCAAAAGCGTCGTCGGCAACTTTCTCGTTCGTCAGTTCCAGGGGGGCGGGGGACAGTGACACAACGGCCATGACAGAGGGGAGCAACGAACGGAGCCGATGACGAAAATCAAAATGCGCGGCCACGTGTTGCCGTGCATGTATTAGCACGGACCGAGCTCCGATGCTCCCCTGTTCCTCGGAACGACATTTTGACAGGATTTGAGCTGCAGTGTGAGATTGAAAACTAAGCAGTAGCTTATTTTATTCGTGCTAGAAAATTACTTAAGTACAAGAATAATCCTGCAATCACTAAGCTTCAAAAAAACCATGAGCCATGACAATAGAGGGACGAACCGATGTCAACGATTTCAGTGCAAAGGTCCAGGCTGAGGCGCTTACGGAAGTGGCGCGCAAGGGCTTCTGAAATTCCAAGTTTCATTTGACGATTGCATGAAAGATGCATCGATTCGATGTCCGTCAGGCAGCCTTTTGCTTGAATGATGGGATTTCTATCTGCCCGGAGAAATGTAAAATTGACTGGGCAAAATATTATTGAACTAACCGTTGCATTATTTGGCGGTATATATGCCTCGCCCTTCCCTGGAGAAAATTCGGGAGACTAGATACCACAGCCAATCGCAGCAACCATGAAATTTTAATAAAACGTTTCAGCCAGGAGGAATATAAAGGATAGACGTTAAAGGTCGCCCCCCATCGACTTAACGTCAAATTTTCAAAGATAAAGAAGGATATGTACACCCAACATCGTTTGAGCGGATAAACGACGTCGAGGTCAACAGTGAAGCCGGAAAAGGAATGCATATGATCACACCGTTGGTCCGGGAAGGACCGGACCGTAACTTGCCAAATGACTCTCACTTGTCGCGATCGGCCCGTGGATTCGCTGTTATTTGAAGATCATGGTCTGAAGACCCCGAAGCTCTCCATTTCCTGTCCTAATCCCACGTATTACCCACGCGTTGACCGTCAGGAAGGCACACAGAAGGCGAACACGCGTTACGGGCATGCTCGCGTATGCCAGCTATCGCACATGTCCTTTTTGCCTCTTTAAGATAGAAGCCTCACGTTTACTGGATGGTACACAGCCGATTTTTACCTTTTATAGGCGGATCATATCACCTGGCGTTCTCTGAACCAGATTTGTTCCTGTCGCTACGAAGCTTCGAATCGGATTGTAAGACTCGCGACAGGTTCGGTAGTCCTTTCTCTTACGAAATTATATTCTGAGCTAACCATTCTTCTCATTCTACAACAAGTTTTCGGGGAGAATATCAGTTCGTTCTCATACCTCGTTATAGCTCACCACAAAAGCTATATGATGCAGGAATCCCTCATCAGATCATCCCATCAGCTCACTAACCATGTTTCGTTCCCCTTCGCTGCAGCCACACGACGCTCAAAGAGGTGCCGAAACACCTTCTATGCAGTACAGTAACTCAGACAATTCTCGTCGCTCGAATAATAGCGACATCCTCCACTAATTCCTACCGTCCTTCACCCCGTAATGGGTCCCAAAGTCAGCATATCTCAGGAGCTACTCCTCCCCAGCTAGAGCTGGACCCCACACAGCTGAGGGAGCTCCATTACCCTTTATCCTACCAGAAGACGTCAGCTCTCCCGCGTCATTTTCTCGTCCTATTCCTGGCTCTGACTTAACTCCTACCGAGCTTGAATTTACTTCATCGCTTGAAAGGAACATGATACACGATAGCCACACCCAGATTCTCGGACTTGCGCTTTCTCGTGAATCCAGCGCCCTCGAAATCCACGCTTGCAGTCCTCCTGCCTTGAATCCCATCCATGAGCGAAGCACCGACATGATGTCCGACTCCAGGGGACTGGCGCGTTACGCTCCAGTTGGTGCCTCGCCGGTAGCGTACCAACCGCAGCCGTATCAGCCGGGATTTGACTCCACTGGTAAACCTATCCTCTACAGAGATTCGGTTCCTATCGCGACTCCCATTGCATCTGACATGTTCAAGGAGACGCCCTCAGTAAGCGACATTCTTTGTGAGTTCAACTTTAAATTAGCTGTCTTTGATTTATTTCTGAAACTATTCGATATAGCTCGCGAGGGCATTGAGCGTATAGATAAAGGTATTGATGGGAACTTCTACGCGTTTTCGAGGAAATTTCCTCGGGGTGTTGATGTCACGGCACTTTGGTGCCATGATGCGCGCCTCCTTTGTACTGCACCAAGATACAGCTGTGATTAACATACCGAAGAAAAGTGAGTCGTGTTGACCTCAGTTTCTCTTCGATGCCAACGCCTGGTCTTATTCTAGTCTGCATTCATTTTAATGGTGAACATGATGATGGTCATAGTAAACACAAGTCGAGGAAGAGCAGAAGGGATGAACAGGACCATCATCGGCACCATGACTGACTCGACTCGGATGTTCTGTATGTAAGAATAGTTTCTAGCAAGTTTCTAGGTTGATGTGTATTTTCAATAGCTTCTAGCTAAAATGGTTCACTTGATGCCATGTCCGCATTTCGAAGAAGCAATGAGACTCTTGTTCGAGAGCGTATACTTACGGCCTGAGTTCTACTATGAACATAGCACGGATCCCGTGGCAAGTTGCGATGATCCGGCCAGGAGCCAAGTCGCAGTTACGGAAAGGGGCTAACCGGCCCTTCACTACCCCTGCCCACTTACGTCCAACAGTGCTGTATCGCTCTATTTTCCATCCTTGCAGAAACTCCAAGTATTCCTTGGCCATTATCATCTAGCTTCCACCCACGCGAAGCTCCTCTAGACCACCACCCACTTTCTGCTTCCGAATCGCCGCAAACCGTCTTGTCATGTCCTTTCTGCCTCCAGAGCTACTGGACAAGGTGATTGACGAATCCTACGATGACCTATCGACTCTCATGGCATGCTCTCTAGTCTCCCACTGCTCTTTTGCCACGTACACGCACCTATCTTTTCGAAACTATATATTTCAACACCGCCGCCCAATGCCAGAGATTCCATGCGCTATGCACCAGCTTCCCATAGGTGATTCAATACGTGAAGGTGATCACAGTTCGTACTCGTCAGAATAGCCTTAAAAATGCCATTCTCAGCGACCCCTCTTTTCCTGCCTTGTTGAGTCTGATTCCTGTCGGCCAGCTGGAGCGATTGAAGGTGGATGCGTACGACTTTACCAAAATGAGTGAATCATCGAAGGAATCCCTTTCTTTGCATTCATTCCGCTCAGCTACTGTTCACACGGGGTACATTTCGGTTTGGAAGAAGGTCGCGGATCTGTATACCATGTTTAAAGGGTCGCGGGAGCTTGATCTTGATTTTCATGGGCTCCTTAAAGATACGTCGACACCGAGCCCTCTTATAGCCCCCCAGGGAGGGTCACTGGTAAAGCTGGCCGTGGAAGGTTATTACCGGTCACTTCTCCAGTCGATCATTCAGACAGGGACGTATCCGTTCTCGGTTAACAACCTGAAGAGTTTCTCGATAAAGATGTTTGATCCAGACGAAGTTAACGATCTGAAGGAATTTTTAGATTTTCCTTTGCCTTCGCTGGAGCACCTCAGCGTTTCATATTACTCTATAGGCTCGTATAGTCAATCTCCTTCCAAGGATCGCAAAGCTGATTGATCGTGTTTCATTCAGAATCAGAGCGTTTTTCTTACCCAACTCTTAATCTTCCTCCAAACCTGCGTTTTCTTTCCATGTCAATCATAATTCGGGGGCCATGTTCGATCAGCAACTCGTTAAGGTGGTGTGCGAAGAACTTGGAAAGTGCAAGACATGTCTCCCTCGAAACATTCACTATCAATGCATCCCTTTTGGACTCCGAGTCCACTGAAGTATATCCCAACGTGCTACAATTCTGGTCCGAATTTGCCGTCATGCTATCTGAATCTGATTTTGGATCTATTCGAAACGTATCCTTAATATTCAGACCAATGAAACCAGAGGGAAGAAGCGTTCCAGGTCTGGAGTTGTACAAGAGTGCGGTCGAGAGGGAGATGTCTTTGTTAATCACCAGAGGACTGGTCACTATCAGCTGAGAGCAGACCTGGGTCCTGATCATCAGGATATGTATTATGTATGTTTTAATGCATACCCCAACCCACCAATTCTATTACTATTATGATCTATGTCCTCCGACGAGCTGGACTTGAACGAAAGTGATTATATTATGGAGTAGATTACTTACCTCTTTTCCGAGTCCTATGTATATAGGATACTCGGTTATTATGCCGTCCTGAACTGATCGTGGGAAAAAATCTATTTGGGGTATCAATCCATCACGGCATTTGCCGACTTTGCTACCTGAGCAAACCGTGGGAATATTTCTATTCGTTCACGGCAATTGCCGTCCTGGCTGCCTGAGCTCATCGTGGGAACCTTTTCTATTTGTTCGCTTCCTCTTTTTCAACTTCTTCGCTAACTTTATTTCTGATTTGAACAGTCACCGCGATGACGGCGCCAAAGCTCGCTGTTGGCTCCAGTGAGCTCTTTGCTGTTTCTTTTGTTTTTAATCTTACTCAGGATTGGTTCAAGGTCCTCTCGTGTACCCCGGCGTCGAGCAATGAGCTCGACATTCAAATGGTAAGTGAATGGTTAGGTTTGGTTAGCAAGCATTTAACGAGTAAATTTCCAGAGCCTTAGCTTTCTCTTCAATCCCTCTTTTGACTTGTACAGGCTCGTTTCACCAAGGTAAGCCGTACTTTACAATCCTTCAATTTGAGCTAACACTTTGCTTGTCATTCTCAGGCGATGATATGCAATAGAATGGGGACAAGCATCTTTGTTCGCTACGACACAATAGGATGACAGCTGTAAGGTAATGGTAGGGAGTTCGGATACCGGTGCGTGGCTTATTTCTTGCCTCTTTCCCTGCTAACATGCCATCGGATATGCTAGGATTTGGCTCGTTGCGCGTAAACGAGGCTGATGGATGGGATGGACAAGACCTTGCTGGAATTTCAGGGATATTTGAAGATAGCGGCAATACGGTCATCGGTAAGTCTTCGTTTCTTCTATTTCCCATTCTTTAGACTCATTTGCCTCGTCGTGTAGTTCATTTACTCACTTTATTCTATCAACTATAGTAGCTATGGGCGCAAGCTATGCCTCTCGATAGTCCCATCACGACAAGAACACCTTACACAGTGAGGTTGCAGGTACCAGGTGCATAGTACCATGTTTCTCAGCTCAGCTCGTTGTTCGCTAACAAGCCCTTTGTTGATGTAGCCCTTTTCCGTGCACGAGTGTGCTCCTCGACTGTCACACGAATGTGCATCACGAAGTCTGATGTGATGCTGATGGATGGGGTACATATACACGGGTGAGTTCATATCCTTCCTCGCGTATCTCGTGTTCCTGATGTTCTGCCAGTGTGAAATTTATGTTGGGTCCTCGCTCGTACACGATGGCGGGCTCAACAACTAGTTCTTGAGCAGATCATAGGTAAGGTAAGCTTTTGCTTCGTTAGCGACTCGGTAACTGATCCTTAATCTAGTTTCAATTTTGCGCTTGGAATCCTTTCTCAGTGCCTAACTCGCCCTCCAGTCGCTCAAATGAACCGGAACCACAAGTTAACGAAACGGGTACAGGCCTTTACACGGGCTGAGTGAACGAAGAAGCGGGGATCGCCTTTGCTAGGTCCCTTTCTGCTTCTTTTTCTTTTCTGTGCGCTAACACGGTATCTACTACTGCTAGGCTGGGCTGTTATATCATCTAACACGGCGGCTACTTTTCATTAAAGAATCCTACGGGTTGGGGCGGATGTACCGGTGCCTCGTTGGCATGCCATTCATGGACAGCGAAAGGTAGTATATTCATAGTAAGGATTCCCTGTCTTGTTTCGCCTTTGTTTGACTAACTTGTTTTTGCTCAGAATATAGGCTGTGTATTATTTATGTACTAGGGTACGCGCCATTATCTTTCAACTCGACTGGAATACTAACCCCTTGTTCTAGCATAAATGATATATATTCTTGCTTGTTAATTCAGGGTAAGCGACCGTATTTGCAGGCCTTTATAAGAAGCTAATACTCTGATTAGATGTCTGACCTGCCGAGTCAAGGAGACGAAGTGGTATAGATGAGTCTGACATATTGTATTTTCGTACACATTCGTTACGGTTATTAGTCCATGATTTCAATTATTATTGTTGCTTTTCTTTTACTTTCTATGTAAAACGAAACAAAACATAGGACTCGGACTTGCCACGCAGATGCGTTGGCCCTCACCAACTAGTATGTTTTCAGTACACAGGTATGTGAGGTGGTGGGAACATTGAAGCAGCTTTCAAAATATTGTTTCAGTCCGTCAGGCATTTTGTCAACTTGAAAATTATTGCATCGAGGGATCTATGAATTTGATAATGCGTCCTGCGGCCGCGTCAGACTCACAGCGTGTCACTGGCGTCACTGTCATTTCAAAGGTCGTAACGGTTCACGTGAGGTGACAGAGACGTGCCTTCTGTCACATGTTTCCAACATCCTTTCTTTTCTTCCACCATATTCCTCTTTCTTGTCAAATTTCAGCATTCGCCCCGCCGCTGCTCTTTGCTATCAACAGAACTCATGCATGAAATTAACAAGAAGGTTCAGAGATTCGAAGGATGGCACTACGATTCTTTTGCTGGAGTCGTCCCGAGACGGCGGGTACATGGACGAGACCTTGGGAAGGTAATTAATCGCTCATATCCTTTATTCTTAGATTTATTCCTCATCTTGTAGACATTCTCTACACCTATTGTGACTTTTGAGTCCATCGATTCTATTCCGTCGTCACACTTACGCGACGCCCACCTTCTTTCACCTGTATCGACAGCTCCTTCTATTTCTATTGCTGCCCAGGATTCTACCCAACACCTCTTACCCTATGATGTCTCCTTCACCAGCGATGGCTCTTCTATCAATGACAGCACAGACCTCTCATCCTCTTCTACGGCTTTCTCCTTGCCCGTTGTACCGACTGGCGTAGGCCTCGGGATTCTTGGCTTGACGAGAAAGGATGGTGGAGAACATTTCGATGGTCTTGGTCTTGTCCAAATTGGTCGATCCTCTGGAGATTCATTATCTTCCAGCTCTGATCGCGAAATCTCCGATACAATCTTGCGCGAGGCTGCGCTTACATTCTTGCAACCCTCTATACCTGTAGCGTGCTTCGAGGTGGATGACAATGTGGGCCTTGAACATCCAGAGTCGGAGAAAACGAAGCCCGTAGACATGCCTTTGGCTACGAATCGTCCACGCAGGAGCTTGACGCGCAATTTGTCCGCCTCTACCATCGCTAGTTCGCTGAAACGAGCCAGCAGAGTTGGTGCCTCGTCAAAGGTAGAACGAGGTCGAAGTTGGCGTTGATAGCATTTGGTGGGATAAACTGGAATTATCTGTAATATCAGGGTATCAATACCATTCTTCACTCTCATCAGCCTCTTCCTGGAAGTTGATTCTAGGTAGCCCGTGAAAGACAGCCAGTCCTTGAGGTCAAGGTCGATCGTATTGAGGTTTTCAACGTGCAAACGACAATCGTCAAATTCACCTAGGATATTCGAAGGTCGAGCAAGGAAGAACGAAAGCATTTCCTTTCTCCACTACCATGTTCTTGACAAGCAGCGTGATCTGTAGAAAGGTCCAAGTCGAAGCTGAGAGTTAGCATGAAGCTGCGGACATAAAGCAGCGAGGGGTAGAACTCGTTTTTCGGACCGTGGAGCAGTGGTTCCGATGAGAAGAGATGTTGTCATTGGATATATCAGATGGAAACTTGCCTGTCGCAAAGGGGGGAACATAGATACCTCTTCGCAGATGACGTGATACGTCTCTGGGGAAATATCTTCTATGAGGGATAGATAAGGCGGCCTTGCTACTACATAAATATGACAATTCGTCCGAGCTAGAATGAAAATTGTCTTAGGAAAGTTAATCTTGTCGATCTATCTGATATTACTGACGATTCTGTGAGGCAAGACGGGCTGCCAAAGCTATCCCAATCACAGCTTCAACCATTGGGTAGACGAGAAGCATCCTTGTTGACATGAGGGGGTATTGATGTTCGGATCCAGGTGGTTATGACTGTGGTGAGGTAGGTGAGTCGCGAACGACTCGGATTTGGTTTCCAGTACGCACTTCCATGTTGAGAATATTCTGGTGTATAGTGGAGGTAAGCTGTGAATTTGTCATTAAACGACGATTTAAATGGGAGATTCGTTATTGAGTAGTAGTCCGCTCACTGCGTACGAAGAACAGCCTGATTGTCGTTGAGTAAATAGTGCCTCAGAATCCAGGGAAGACATGTATACTTCCCGGTCAAGCATGGCAGTAGTTAAACTGGCCAATTTTCACTGACCCCGTAAGGTTACTAGATTCCCCGGGAAGTCCAGAGCCGTTTTATCAGAGTTATCACGACCCAGAAAAAGGATATAATACCCTGAACTAATACCTCCGCCTCTATCAGACCAAGACTAGGTGGAAGATGGCAAGGCAATGTCTTGGGTTCAAGATAAACAGATGAGAAAGATCGACCTTCTAAAGCTCAAAATAATTTAGAGTACTACCAGCACCGTCGGTCCTGGCAGCTCGAAAAAGTGCCTGTTAGTCCCCGAACTTAAGGTGTGAACAGCTGAGACTAGTTGAACTAGATATCCCTTGGGTACCTGAAGTCTGACACTCAGATAGCACGTCTTCAATGTTCTATCGGTATCAGTGTAATGTCGAGACGATAGTTGGTAGATACTAGATAGGCAGAGTACGGCAAGATCCGCGGAGCTGGTCTGGTCGCAGCACTCGGTCCGGACAACCGATTACGTTGGAAATCAAAACTACTCTTTTCTTTTCTTTTTTTTTGTAGCAGCACTCTTCGTCTTCTCAAACGCGCCTTTCATACAAACAATTCCGGCCTCAGTCTTTCCACTTACATTTTGAAGTTGTTGCAGATAAACCCTGTTCTTTGCAATGACCCTGTGCACGAACAGACGTTCCATCAATACTTATCATTTACCATCAAGTCCTAGTTACCCCATTGGCGACGCGGCTAAGCTTCCTTACACCGTCAAATAAACTCTTCATGACCTTCTACCATCCATAAGGTGAGTATGTGCGCTTCCTACTCTTCATGCTCATGTGAGGTCTAGCAACGCTATGTGGCGCGTTTCATAAATATCAAAGCAGGTCATCGGGTGGGCCTTTCAACAAGGTAGGCCGCAATCCCGGGTTTCGAAGATTCTTTTCTTTACCAGCACGTGCTTGATATTGAAATCCGTTTCTCTATTTTATCTGCCGATGCTACTGGCATGGAGTTATCCTCCTTATCCTCACTCCCGAGTGGCAAACTCTCCAGTCTGCATCGAAATCCCCCATGACCTCCGAAAAAGACTCCAGAATATCCGTCCGGACTGACGATGTAGTCTCAGATATTGGCTACATACATTCAGACCAAACAGTCAGACGGCTCAAGGTGTGTCTCTTGAACTCGTTGCTGGTTAACCCTTCCATGGAGCCCCCTTAGAGCAGGCACTTACATTGGATTGGTATCGGAGGCGAGTCGTGTTTACATCAAATACAGACACTCTTACCAACATCTACTGCATTAGGGACCATCGGCACCGCTCTCTTCCTACAGATTGGTTACGTGCTTCCGCATGGAGGACCCGGCAGTTTGCTACTAGCATTCGTGTTCTGGTCTACCGTAATGATGGCAATCAACAACTGTTTAGGTACCACCTGATTTCTTAGAACTTTTCGTGACTGATGAACACGTAGCCGAAATGGTTTCTTGGATCCCTATTTCGTCCCCTTTCATACGCTTCGCCGACCGTTTTGTCGATCCGGCACTGGGATTCTGCGCTGGGATAAACTTTTTCCTGTACCCTGCAATTCTTGTTCCTTTCGAGATCACAGCCTTCGAGTTGATGATCCATTTTTGGACGGAAAAGATCCCGACCGCTGTTGTAATTGTAGTGGTCCTCGTGTGTTACGTGTGCGTTCCTTTGCCAAGCGAAACAAATGTATTCTGATCAAGTTACATAGAGCACTGAATGTTTTTGCTGTGCGATTCTACGGTGGTAAGCACAGCGGAATATAGGGAACTAGGCTTTGTACTAATGTTTCTCGTAGAATCCGAGTTTTGGCTAGCGATCGGAAAGATCATCCTAGCTCTCGGACTTCTTCTGTTCACTTTTATAACTATGCTTGGCGGCAACCCGCTCCATGATCGGTTTGGTTTTCGAAATTGGGATTGTAAGTTTGTCTAGGCTTTGTTTGGGAAGTGCTCAGCTGACTGTCGTATTTCAAGCATCGGAAGTTCCGGTCAGTTGTTAGATTCATTCAGGCGCGCACGAACTGACGATGGGAGCAGGGAACACCATTCGTTGAATATCAAAAGACCGGTTCTACGGGGCGTTTTCTTGGCTTTTTGAGCTGCCTATTACAAGCGGTCTTTACGATGTGTGGTGAGTATTCAGATCACATATGTATAACACAATTATAAATCCATCCCAGGTCCAGAATTTGTGTCTATGACAGCAGGAGAGGCTGAGAACCCAAGGACGACATTACCTCGAACATTCAAAGGCGTATACACCCGTGTCACGACATTTTTCATCCTTGGAGCCCTCTCTGTCGGAATACTTCTTCCTTACTCTGATCCAAATCTGCAGCTCGCTCTGTCAGACCCCAAGCCCTGGCGCCGGCTCCTCGCCGTATGTTATCGCGATGCAGAATATGAGCATTCCCGTACTGCCTCATATCGTCAATGCTTTGATCATGCTGTCGATATTCTCCGCCGGGAACAGCTATGTCTTCTGCGCCAGTCGTACACTGTATGGCATGGCGCTACAGCGAAGGTTGCCTCGGTTCTTGACAAGATGCACGCGGAACGGTGTTCCGATATACTGCGTTGGAGTAACCATACTAATCGCTCTGTTGGCATTCCTGCAGGTATCAAATGATACCTCTAAGGTGCTTGAATGGTGAGTTATCTGACTTGATTGTTAGCTGGACGTAGTCTGAACTTTCATGATAGGTTCGTCAGCCTCACGGCGGCCACGCAAGTTATCAATTATGCTATCGTGACATTTACATATCTGAGATTTTACTATGTGCTTTTTTGTTACACTTTCTGGTTCGAAGTGATGCTGACTTTTTTCAGGCCTTGGAGGCTCAGGGAATATCCCGAAGCAGCCTACCATTCCGTAGTATCCTTCAACCATTCTGCGGGTATATTCTCAGTAGTCTTTCCCTCGTCAAGGCTGATCATGTTCGCAGCTACTACGCCTTCGGGTTCACCCTCATAATGCCGTTCATACTGGGTTATTCGGTCTTCATGCCAGGAAATTGGGACACGACCACGTTCTTCTTTTCTTATACTATCATCGGTGTTCTTCCTATATTATTCATCGTCTGGAAGGCCCTACATCGTACTCGGGTGCGTTTTTCCGTTCTATAATCTGATAAGTTTCGTTAACGATCTATGTCCAGCTCATTCGACCGAAAGAAGTTACTTTCTTCGAGGAGGAAAGGAAAATCATAGATGACTATGAAGCGTCCTTTGTTAACGCAGAAAGCAGAATGGACGCGTTTAAGAAGTGGGTGATTGGGTGAGCTGCGAGATTATTCATGAGCTATCGTATTGCAGATGTCATCTTGTCCTACAACTATAATTGAATGGCGGAGAGCCGCTTCCGTGGAATCTGAATTGGAATACCCGTGACTGATCGAGAACGCACGGACCTAAAGTGTGCACTAGGGGCTCTGCGCCAGACTTGTCATCCTCTTTCACCTACGTTGAACGAAGCATCTCGGCCCACCAAAAGTCTACCCCACCGCCGCTCACAGCTGCTTTGATTTCTCTGTGAGCATCTCTCTGCTATCCTTTGTGCAAATTTCCCTCCGGAGTCCTGTCCTGATCACTGCGCAGTCAGGAGTTTCCAATATCGCAATGCCCTCTCTTCCCCAAGAGCTGGTTGACAGGATCATCGATGAGGCCAGGGACGATATCCCGACTCTGCGGTCTTGCTCCTTAGTCTCTCACGCCTTCCTGCCTCGCACCCGCGTCCACCTATTCGAAACCATAGATCTCAGCACCATTGACGAGTGCCAGAAATTCCACGCCTTGTGTATCACCTCCCCACATGTCATCACCTACGTCAAGAATCTCGATCTCTGCACACTCTACGGCGGTCGTAGGGAACGCATCCTCGAGGATCCTTCTTTCCCAGCTGTGATGGGACTCATTCCCGTATGTCAGCTCGAAAGGTTGAAAATAAACAAGTATCACTGGAGCGAAGTGAGTGAGTCTTCGAAGGAGGCGTTGTCACAACACTCCTTTCGCTCAGTTGTCCTTGACACGAACCTCCTTAAGGACGTTGATGCCCTGTACACTGTATTCAGCGGGTCTACAGAATTTGATCTGTCATTCGAAGGGATCATAGGGGAATCGAGCCCGTTTATCACTAATATGTCCCCTCCAGCGTCGGGAGGGTGGTTGGTCAAGCTGAGTCTGGAAGGATTCTGCGATCCCATTCTCGAGTCCATCATCGAAACTCAGACGTATCCCTTCTCGGTCAACAATCTGCAATCTCTCTCAATCATTATCGAACATCAGACTACTGTCGCTTCTCAAACAAATCTTAGATTTACCACTTCCGTCCCTAGAACATCTGAATGCGGCACATCACAGGAGCGGTGAGTAGAACGTGTCCCGTCGTCAAACCAGAACTGACACTTTACCAGGCTCGGTGGCGGCTACCCACCCGATTTTGAATATCTCGCGATTGCGCTCTATCAATGTGTCGCTAGCGGAAGAAGGAGATACTTCTGATCCTCAGACAATGAAGTGGTGGGTGGAAAACTTGAAGGAAGCAAAGTCCACGTCCATCGAGAATATCGCTCTCGACGTATATCTTTCCAACTACGAACTGCGACCCTCCGGGACCCACAACGTTTGGTCTGATTTGGCGAGGATCCTGTCTGGTTCCGACATGAGCAACATTATAGATGTATCTATCGTCTTTAGGCTTAGTTATGGCCAGGGAGAAAACATACAGCAGTACAAGACGGTGGTAGAGACAAAGATGGCTCCATTGGTCGCGCGAGGGATCGTTTCTATTTCTGAACTCGGTAAGCTGCTTGCGCATCGCTTTTATTGCCCTTTGCTGAATAAAGCTGTTTAGATTGATATGGGACAGCTAGAGTCTCTTTGCAAATATGTCGTGGCGATCGATTGGATTTTTCTGTAATAGGCTGGTTATGTTCAGGTCAAGTAGAGTTCACTTGTAGTAACCAGGTGGTAAATGAAACGTCAAATAGACTACTTAGTTACTCCTACGCAGCACGCGAACATCGATAGGTGCTGATGGAAATAAGTAAAGAGGTGTTACTCTTCGAATACATCTAACTTCTACCACATGGCTTAATGCCCATCTTGAAGCCTACTATGACATCTATGGAACGATAGAGATCTCATGTTCAAGCCCGATACTGGGGGGATCATACTCAGATGCGGCGAGACTTATCTGTTCAAGGATTTTGATACGGAGGTGGTTGTGAAATACACTGACCACTTTGCGAACTCTAAGGAATTCTTGGCAGGGTTGCAACGTGAATGTCATATAAAGAGGTGGAATCGCTCGAAGATAGGGACGACGTGTATAACGACAAATATCATGAATTCATTTGTCTTATGGATAAGGTCGAGTCTAGTTTATCGTTGTAAAGCTGTTTATTTTATTGACTTTAAGAAGTGTGTGCATTGATATTCTAGTGCATACATAACTGCTCAAATTTTTTGTTGTAATGATGTATCTAATCCCAAAGAAGTGATGGAACGAGGACAAGAACTTTGGGTTTACAAGCGTCTAGCTAGAATGGAAGAAACGACATGCTGCTTCCCGGCCGGCGCAGCATACACCGTATTAATGCTGTTTGGAGGACTCCTTCGACATATCCTCCTTCGTATCTCCCTACAGAGTCCAAGCCAGGCTTCGAACCGTATAAGAGCAGACTTGACGGACGTTCGGCGAAGGTCGGTGGACATGGTTCATGACAGTTGTTCTCAGTGCCATGCACTGCAGAGAGCTCGGAGTCTTTGGTAGAATATCGCTTGATATCTATAGGAAGATAAATGGGAGCAGAACAGCCGCAGGAAGTTATGAGTCGTCGATGTAAGGATCGGATTCTGTCGCCTGCTTTTGGCCTCAAGTGCGAGATGAGAGGTAGTGATTCAATCTTTCCGGTTGAAGTGTGGTCTCCATCTGGCCGCTAGCAGAGTGTACCATTAGGCGTGGCTTCCAGAATATAGGCGGCGACATACCTTCGATTCGATGTCCAGAATCAGTTCCCTCTTCGATGTCCACTGAGAGCGGACTCGCCTAATGCGCAACAACGTCGTAGTCTTGTATACAACAAAGCTCGTGAGGAGAAATAGAGTGACGAGGATGAAGACAGTAAGCGGGATATTTTTTGTGCAAAGGATAAAGAATGAATAGGCCAGGGCGGATGATGTAGTGGCAGTCATCGAGATAGCTACTAGCCGTAAGATGCTGAAAATAGAATGGAATAGGAATGAGAGTGTTAGGGGAGGTGGGGTGTTGGCGATGCCTCGTGTAGGCTGGTTGTTGGTAAGAAGATGGATCCATGTTTGACGATCGTTCATTTTTCCGATGTTTTCCGGCCCGGGGACCGGTGGCAGGTAACGAATGCATCTCGCTAGCAAAAACAGTAGGTAAATTCCTCAGAAATTGCGTCTGATTTATGGTGTGGATTCGAACATGCAAGCTGGACTGAGGAATAGACCAAAGAAGGCTTCAAGTTACGCTTGAAAATTACGACCCGATGTTTATGTTACTGGATTGATTAGTTAGTTGAAGTACACAATTCGATTTCTTGGTCCAAAATTTTGGCGCCATGAGATCGTGGTTCCAATGGCGGTTGGTCCCGGGCGGAGGCATTTACCGTTTCCGGTTGCTCACCAACTTAACTTTAAGCCAGGCGCTCTCGATAACGTGGTGAGTCAACGTTTTGTCGCTAATTATAATTCCTCTAATATTGAAATATATTGCCGTTTTTATTGATAGTACAGGCAGCAAAAGAGATATCCCAAAACGAAACCCCTATTCAATTAGACGAGCAGAGAGAAAATTCCAGGGGCACGGGAAGCGAAGGCCCCGTCCTTCGCCTCCTTTTCCCAAGCGTCTGCTATGACATCAACGACTTTCGTTTCGATGCCACGACAGGTTCCCCGATGCTCAATCCAATCTCCCGGAACTACGTCGACATCGCAACCCAGACATCGTATGCTTTCGCCTTGTACCCGTGCCCACGGGCCCAAGTCCCTTTTCTTCGAGAAGTTTTGTTTGAGGGTGAATGTAGCATCCTTGTGGTAGCCAAACCCGAAAGAGTTGAGCTGGGCCTCGGTTAACGAGATTGGTGTGGTGTTGGAAGGGGTGTTAGCAGGAGGAGAGTCTTGGACCTTGGCAAACTCATCGGGAGAGTTCTTGTGGTGGATCGCGAGTACCTGACCTTCGGGGTGGAAGACATGCCACTCGCAACCGTTTGGGTAGTTGAGGCCGCAGCGACAAGGCCGTACGGAGATGGGTGTCTCGCCATGGAGTCCCTTCGGGATGAGAGAGACAGAGGGCGATTCGAAAGGCTGAGTTGATTTAACTTGGTTAGGCTTGGAGGGTTGCATGGTGGATCGGATGGTGTTTCTGAGCGCTGCAGGCCGGTCTTTTATATGTTCAGATCAAGAGCACCCTTACGTATTCTGCAATTGTCGGCACAAGAGTGGATAAGCTACCACTAGTCATGATGCGTGACGAATAGACGTCCTTGAACAATGATTGAATCCATGACAATGCATGGACATTTCGTGTACAAAACTTAAACTTAAATCATTGTTGAGTGGCAACTTTGCCGTTTGGAAAGCAGAACGCACCCATTACTGTAAATACCGCGGAATCTGTGGTATGTTCTTCCGAAATTTCTGTGTGCGGTTTTCTAGGGCTTATTTTTTGACTTCACGTTAATTATGAGCTGACATCGCCCTAACTATGCTCAAATTTTGGGATGAAATAGACTAGTCAATATATGTAAGATATATGTTCCGAGTGCTTCGAGTTTATAGTTCATTGATCCCTAGAAAAGGTAATTGACACACCTTAGAGCTGAACTTGAAGCAAAGTAAATATACCTTTTACAGCTAACGTATGACATTACTTGGTTGTCTCGCTACAGGCCCGGCTAAACAAAAATGATATTTGCCACACTAGGACATATAAAAGTGGGAGCTCTGCTCTCTGTCTCGCCTACGCTCTCACCAACTATGTCTTCCCAAGAAGTTTCTTCCGAATCTTGTACCCTGGAATTTCTCATCAACAAACGTCAGTTAATGCAACTCGCGTATCGCCCAGAATTTGAAAATCAGACTCGGGGATGGTACATGCAGGAATACTCCATTCCCCTCGTGAAATCTCGCCACCACAGAACGTTTCAGTCGATTTTCAAGATGAGTATGGTTCTCGGTAGGTTTTTATTGTACACTATGCGCATCTCATCCTGACGTTGATTACAGCCAAGGAGCCTTATAAGATGTGGGACGATCATGGCAATGGGATTGTCGTCACCACCGATCCAAGTTTCCCCGAACCTGTTGACATTTCGGTCCTATGGCATACTCTATACTCCTCTGTACCGCTCAAATACTTTCCACCGAGCAGTGAGTACGCAGGCAAAGGGATACTCCAGGCGTTAGCAGATGGTGAGTTATATGAGTCGTTTCACGATAATGTCCCCGTCGCTAAATCAGTTCGACTAGCTTGCTTGTACATTCAAGAAAAGATGGACAAGCTGGACACATCGTCACATCGACATTGACATTCTAGAAAGAGTGCTCCGTATTTAGTTTGCTTTTAATCTCTCTAAGTCTTCCTGTAATAAAAGGCTACTTATCTCGTTCTCTGGCTTCATTGTCTTTCGTTTGTAGCTGCAATGGCGCAGAGAATAATCGACAAAGTTCAAAATTCTTGAGCGGTCTTACGAAACTGTTCGTGAGATTGAGCAACTGTAAGAACTCGCGGTTCACAGGTAAGCACAAAAGGAACTAATGTTCACGGCAATCGCGCTAACGATGCCCTACTAACTAAACAGCTTTTATACTACCAGAATACATGTAGAATGTACTAGAATAAATGAGTAATGTATCACTAATAAAATGAGTAAGCGTCCCGGGGAATATGGGGAGAACGAGCGAGAATATTCATGCAAGCTCGCTCTTCTAAAAATAGCAATCCATATTCTAACAGCAACTTGATGGGAAGGACGTCGATAGTAATGAGAATCAATGATGCTACGGGCAAGCCACCGACGCGACGCGTTTGTTTGCTCATGTTGCATATCAAGGCCACCAACGGCATTTTCCGTCTGCTTTACCACAACGACGACCACGACTCGACATTGACAACGTCACTGCAACCGGAAGCTCGAAAGGTTTAATTGCTTAAAACTTCTTACCCTTTCCCTCTTCTGCAGTTTTCCAGTCTCCCTTTCAGTACAGTTTCCTATGCCAGACGATGGAATTATCTTTTTTTCCTCCTTGGACAGGGTTAGGACAGGGCCGTACTGATGCGCTTCTTTCTTTGTCATGATATCCTAATCCTGACAGGTTCCCTAGTGTAATTCATGGTAGGGCAGGTTCGATGGTCCCATGGGCTCCTGGATGGCGCTTCCAATGATAGGTGCACGTTAAACAGTGAAATGCCGGGGATCGCCTGGAATGATGGAGACGCGTAGCCCAGTAACGCAGGAGGCCCGGGTTCTGTAGCACGGCAGGATGACTAGGTGCACAGGCATATCCTTTGATTTTTCATCCAAAGCTTACTTTTTTGACCTATTAGCGAGAAATTCCAAGGAAAAGGGATACGATGGACTTCAACGATGCCAAGGATGCTTGTTGTCTCGTAGATGTTGGGTCCAAGAAGGCGCGGCTCGGATTTTAGAGAGACTACCTTGTCCTGAAGGATTTTCTGGCTGCTATACGAGACTCAATGCATTCGTGGCTCAAAGAAAAGAGCACCACACGAACAGTGTGGCAGACCGCGTGTTCTCTTTGTTCTCGGGCTAACGTAGCTGCAGCTCATATCGCGGGGACATCCCTCCTGGGCTAATGCGCCTTTAGTTGGGAGACCATTGACAGGTAAGACATCCCATTTCTCATTGTTCTATTACTGTAGCTGATATAGGTTTTATCCTAGTGAACTAGCGCCAAAAACAAGACGTTCCTCGAGATGACTTTCAGTAGTTTTTGTGAAAGCTCATTACGCGCTGACCTGGGCACTTTTTCGGACGAATCTGGGTCTGTGTCGCCGGCGAACGGCGGGTGTCCATGATAAATCCCGATGGAGAGCCAATGTCTGCAAAAAAATCAGATAGCACGGGAAGCGTATAATCGTTGAGGGCGTCCGTTCAGATCAAGTTGGAGAACACCAAAATGGTACGATATATCAATGAATGGTGCATGGCTGCTTGCTATTAGCCTGCAGTTCGCTCGCTTTCTGTGGCATTCGCAGTCCCTGTAAGCTCCAAGATAAGGATCGTATAGCTCCATGGAGCAGCGACGTTGGCAGATCGACATCGAGAATGCCAGGATTCAGGGATTTGCTGTGTGAGAAGGTATGGTTTACCATGTATCCTCTCTTCCAGTGTTAATGTTTCTCCGCAGTTCAAACCACTCACCTTTTGACACCATTCTTTTCATCAACTGAAGCCCGGCAAGGAGACTATTGTTTTGGCAGGGGAATTTGGCGGGCGGGCGGAACATCCGATTTCCTGGCTAAACAGGACTTCGTGGTTTCTGTTAGTTGCGGCACTCTGGAACGTGACAAGCAGAGCATGTCATCGGTAACTTCTAATCCCTCGATCCTGCTCAGCATCTAACCACGGTCGTAGAGTTGAAGTGACGCTCGCTAAGTATTCACATCCTATAGGGCGCTTTGAAGGTTCCGCGTTGGCGACAAAGCGAACTCATACAGCAGATATTAATATGCTGTGGACGGGCGCGTTATATATGGTACGTCTTTCATTGCCATAGCGCCACCTATAATGACTTTTTTCACTAGCTATATAGCCTCTGGGTATGAGGCCTGTGGCGATTCTCAAGCATGATGATGGACCACATAAGATGGATCTTGTTCCACTGCATCAAAGCTTCACGAAACATACATCCTCATCGGATGGAGCCTTCCCTTTCTCTGTGGACTGAATTCTCAAGGTATGCAGACCGGATCTTGTCATAGCTGGAGTATTTTTACTCAGATTTTCACTGGATTCCCGATCAGACCCGTGCCTCGAGGTTCCAGAACGACGTCTTATGACCTAAACTGGGGACGTAGATTTCAAGTCAGATAATACATACGCGCGAGAGTTGACCTCGTCAAGGACTTTTGATTCGCATTTTTCTCTGTATGCATCATCTACGTCGTTATAACACTTATCTTTAGCTTACGTCAGATATTTCCGTCCGCTTCTTAGCATCTTGAGCCGTCATCTTCATGAATGGCACTGAAGTAGTGCCACAAAACAAGGCCTAGTGTGATGTACCCCATGTCTGTACCTGCGGAAGCTTTCGCGCCTTATATGTTACGTTTACGCGAACACTTGCGCATGACACGGTTTCAGCAAGCAGAATAGCCCTGTCAGTCTCCAGGTGCTCGTGCATCTAAACAAGGAGCTTCGGCTTCGGTCAGGTCATCCTTCTATTGTGGGTATATTTTGACGCAGATT